GCAGCGAAGGCACATGACGAAACGCTGACCTCTTTGCTTCAAAGCACACATTCACATGCATACATACACCTACAAGCCCACTTCCTTCCCCTGCAGGCAGTCTTCGGTCCATCCTTCTTTCCAGGCAGCCATGCGACCAGCAGAAAACAAGTTTTCATTTCCTCTAGGTGAGCGGAGGCCTGCCGTCACGCTCTTTTACTCCTGGTCAACACGAGCAGTGCGGCGGCCCATCAGCCCCCTTGATCAAAGAACGCAGCGGGCCCGAGGAGGCCCACTGACACGAGCTGTAATTAAGACTGAGGCGATGTTTTAATGACTCAGGACGAGTGTCAGGCGGCCTCAGGCTATATAGGCCCCGACTGCTCATGTGTGGAGAGACAGAGAGGGGAAGTAGTGGGCGAACGGTGGGGTGTGGAGCCATCTATTAATCATATTGCTGATTAAATCTGAAGAACATATAAGAGATGTAGCTTACTAAACAGTAATACAAATTCTGTATATCCAATATTGCCATGAAACAGGCCTGTTAACTGTTTTGCCTACGACGGTCAAAAACAAGCAAAGACATTGAAGATTTTCGGGCATATAATCCAACCCTGACAAAAAACCCACAATTTCATGTAGGACGACGATTTGCTCAACTTCAACATCAACCTCTAGCTCAATGCAGTCAACAGGTAACTAATACTATTAAATGTGACCATATGGACATGAGAACAGATAGCCGAAGTTGCCGTGGGCGCATGTCTTCACATAGGTGAATGCTGCCAGATGGAGGTGAGTAAATACAAAAAAAAAGTCACCATTGTGCTACAGGCAAGGTGGTTTGGGGTTATCAGGAAGGATACCGTGTTAATCACAGAGTAACCTGAACTCTGCCGACTCTTATCTACAGGAGAACATATGAGCGACCATTCGGACATTTCCCAATCTGCCTGTGTTGAGCAGAGAGGGGCTTTTGTATCGCATGTGGGGTTCGAATAGTTGAGGTCCGCCCTGAGCCTTTAGGGCTGTAACTGGAGGAGAGAGGGGCCGATACAGATGATACAAGATGACCTCTTTCAGATGACCCGATCAAAACCTGTCATGTTGGTTTGAGCATTTTGGTTAGAAATTCATTATGTTGCTGGTTACTTTTTGTCAATTGGTATTTTGCATTCATTTCCTGCTTTAAATTGTATTTAAATTAATGTTAAACCTGGGGATTATGTTTAGATATAGTGTTGTTGTGATGTTTACTCTGACCCTAATTAACAAACTTTGTAAAAGGACCAATTGCCAGAGGGGGCAGAGGTTGTGGCTACTGAAAATCACTCAATAATCACAGCTTGTTCAAAGTTCAAAATATCATTTTCTGCCCTGGGTAATGTATTCAAATCCTTTTACCACTCTGGACCCCTGCACCATAAATATTTCATTGTATTTTATGCCATTAATCGATTCAATATTGGAGTAAATGGTCCAAAACAAAACCCCAGAATGAACAATACTGTCATCATACATCGCTATGCTATTGAGCCGGTCCGCCTCATTCTTTTTAAGACATTTCTCCACAGGCCGACCCATAAAGAGGCAGCGGAGGGGTGAGAAAGGGAGAGAGATAGAGGTCTGTGAGTTACAGTGGCCCTGCCCCTGCATCTCCACTCCAGCAGCGCGGGACCCCTCGCCTCCATGTGACACCCCGTCCATTGGAGACTCATCTGTCTGGTGCGCTGCCTTTGTACTTTACTGTTACTGGTGACATTTTGGTGTCACGGTGTCACGATGAAATGGCTCCCCTCCCACGTCGCAGCCCGCGGCGCCGCAACCAGTGGAACAATGAGGTCCCGAGGAGTTGGGGCTGGAACTCAGGAGGCCCCAGCTGGGCGCAACGCCCTAACCCTTCCCCCCACCCCCCCTTCCTGGGCTCCCATGAAATCGGGAATTAGTCGAAGCGTTGCTGACGACAAGTCAGTGTCTGTGTGTCCCAGGCTCTTCCCAGGGCCCGGCGAAGACCCGGGGTGAGGAGATACACAGACACAGACACAGCGACCAAGGGATGGGAGCTTTTGGGGTCACCGGGGGCAACCTGTATGTACTGCTTTGACCCCCGACCCCAGCAGAGATCAAACTCTGCCTCACCCGTGGAAATGTGGGAGAGTGAGTGGTGTTGGTCTCTGCTGGTGCTGGCATGGGTCAGCAGACGGGACGGTAGCTTTACTGCCGTGATATTTTTACTGTCACTCCAAGTGGATGATGCATTTTAACAGTAAAAAATAAAAAGGTGTTTTATTTTGTCCGTCTGCTGTTGTGGAAATGACAGCGAACATTATGTGTGTATGAGAGGACAAAGGGGATTTTTTTTTGCTGTACTCGGTGGAAAACTGTTCCAATTTCAAAATCTATTTCTGTGCTTCGATGACAAATGTTCCGTGTAATTTTGTCTCCGATTGTCCTATTCCTTTTCGCACTAGATGGAGAATGATGAGGAAGTAGTATCAAAGATTTATAAAAACAGGTACTGATCTGATGAAGACATCGACTGTCCAGATTTTTATGTAGAATCCAAAGATGTTTTATCTAAAACGGTTTATGTTTTCACCATCACAAATGGTACAAATGACTCACGTTCAGTTTTAAAGGTTCTTGAATGATGGCGTCAGTGATTAGATATATAAATAAAGTCAGTATTGTTTGTGTGAAATAATGATACGAGTAACTTTCTTGGTATTCAACATAGTGCTTCTTCATATCAGCGTTGACCGTATATGCAAAGAGGTCCCGAGGAGTTGGGGCTGGAACTCAGGAAGTTACATTTATGGTACCATAAATGTGTGAGTTTCATTAATATACCAGCACATCACACTCCAAAGGGTGAACGGGACGAACTATAAATAGAACCAATTTCTGTTCAGGAATTTGTAGACATGCCATTGTGAACTGGCCTTACCTTGGGATTCTCCAGGATGCCAGACTCATAACTGTAAAGAATCATAATTCAGAAAATGATCTGATAGAAAACGATAAAATATTGAAACTAAAGAAGGTGTATCACACCGGTCCTACCTTATATGCATGAGGTTGGCGTCCATGCTCCAGGGGGCCTGAGGAGTGACGGGTACAGGGATGCCATGTTTCTGCAGTTTGACAGAGAAAGCTTTTGTTATGGTACGTACTGTTTACCTGTACACTAACTGCACCTGAAGGCTAGACACTATATAGCAGAGTGGAAAAAAGTTCAGAATACGAGGAACCAAGCACACTCCTTCCAGAGACTATCGTTTGTTTTTGTGCAACCAAAATGCCCCAAACAAACAAACAAAATGAAGACATTTTTTTTGACATGTTCAAAGGACAAGTCAACAATTTAGTGTTTTAAGATTGTGTGATTTCACAAGTAGTCCAGATGCCAACAAGAGAGTGGTGTTCACTGACACATGACCACCCTCTAGTGGGGAAAACTGGTCACAACCACCATCTAACAGGAGCTTATGAACAAACCGCCTATAACTGTGCGTGTGTGGTCTGAATAACATAAGTCTGAGAAAGTTTAACTGTAAATATAATCATAAGTGTGAAATTAAATGACGAGAGAGTAGGGATGTAACAATATATTTATATTGCATTTTTCACTAAAGATATTTAAAATCAATACACGTGGTGAAGGGATTTAAGGATTACATTTTTTGTTAAAACTATTGAGGATTGTCAACACAAACAGATAATAGTTAATTGATCTGAGGCTGGATACAGAATTGAAAAATAATTAATAACGGAGCAAAGGAAATAAATATTGGGAGGGCTGTACCATAAAATGAGAGCTGTACACGGATACAAGATAAGTACAGGAGAGTATTCAGTAAGTACAAACAGAATCTATACAATTAAGAGGTATGAGAGTTTTATATGATACTCAAGGTGGACATTTGTGGTTTAATGTAGTCACTGCTTTTCTTTTAATACGATGCTTATTAAACCATTTTTCACACTTTTATAACGTTAAATCTGTATCTGTGACAAAAACAGTACTTTCATCTGTGACAAGTTGTTGTTAAAACAATTTTAGGTTATTACTTTGTGCTGCTTGGACATTTCATAGACCATATAGTGAATCAATAATTCCGATTCATTGATAGATTTCTTAATAATGACAGTAATCTTTAGTAGGCATCCCTAGAAACCACCAAACTGAACTATGGGTATTATGTCAGATTTCGACATAAACAGACTGACGGCGTTACCTGTGCATATTCCATCAGGTCTGTTCTCCCCCGGAAGCGGTTGTAGAAATCAGGGATCCTCCACGGTGCAATGATCTGAACTTCAGGGTAGAGGGCGTAGCACGTGAGCTCAAAACGGATCTGGTCATTGCCCTGCAAAACACAAACATGACGGCTTTTCAAAATCAACAATAGTACCCGACAGTGCGCACAGTAACAATTAATTTCATTATTAATTAAATTGTTTTTGTCTGGGATAGTGTCAGAAAATGAAGTGTTTTGCTATTTCCCAAAACCCAAGTTGACATATTCAAATAACTTGTTTTATGCAACCAACTGTCTGAAGCCCAAATCCCCCCAAACAAATTATAAAAATGTTTGCAGATTATTTTTCTGTCAATCGGCTTATTGATTAACTGCCTAACATATCCGCACTAATGTGCAGTGGTGGTTGAGCGGTGATGTTTCCAGTGTCTCGGTCTCTTTCTTCATTAATCAGCTTCAAGATGAAAACTAAAATATAAAAGGGAAGCAAGCTGCATTGTCTTAATTGTCACAAATAAAAACAAATTACATAAAAAATAAATATTATATTGTAACTTTATGATGTGGTATCTGTCTCCATCTACAGGCAAACTGTGGACACTGCATTTTCAGCTGACTGAAGTAGGAATAATACAAACATCTGTGAAGGCATTGAATTAAAAAAGGCATGTTCAAGAAATAAAAAACATATTTCTTCTGAACTCAATCACAATGCAAAACGATTATACTACTACTACTATACAATTTAACTTAGACTATAAGAACCTTGACCGCACACAGACATTTGTCTGCCGCTTACGCAGCATTTGTTAGATGAAGAAAGGTTATTCTGACCAAAAGAGAGGCGATACAGTGAAGTCTTTAACCAATCAACAACAGTGTGAATCAATGTGCCATCATAATCATTAGAATTATCATTATATTGTCATTCTGTATTAAAAAAAACAACCTAGAACTTAGATCACTGCTTTACATAAGAGCGCCCTGACCTAAGTGTTTATCTTAAAAAGCTCTTAATATTCCTCTGGACAGCACAATGTATGAAACTGACTCAACACGTATTACTAGTTTCCACTTTGACATCACTCTGGAATAATCTATTTATCTTCCAGGTCAAATTTTACGCTAAAAGTTACATGCCGGTATGTCCTGGTGACACATGAACACAGCCAGCACGGCGTGAGGAAATACAGATCTTTGGAACGAGGTACCCGTCCACAAACTTTAAAGTCTCCAGGCTTACATTAAACCTTCTTCACTCACCGCTCACTCATGCTAATCAGAAAGCTATTCACCAGGCCTCCAAAGCAGAGAAGACATATTTGCATTTTCCTTTGACTCGTTTCATTTAGCTGACGGTTCGGTGCAGACGATAGCGATGATAACATCCGTCTCAGATTTGCAGTAAACATCTATTTTCTTTTCATTGAATATATGACTAAAGAAAATGATAGTTTCTGAATGAAGGAGCGCTGTGGCTCTGACGAGGGTAGATTTCTGAGTTACTGTTCAACCCTGCAAACACGTGGCCTAAATCCTCTTGTCCAGACTATGGACAGTGACCTTATTAGTTAGAAAAGACTGACGTGAGGGCCTCCTCTGGGATCAGCCACACAGCATGTTATCACAATGTTGAGGGTTCAATTCCAGTGTAAGAAACTGGTCTTTAGTTCCGCATCATCCCCCAAACTTACTCTCTTCTGTCCCAGCTCCAGTATAAAGGAAATGAAATGTAAATATTCTTTAAATAGATTTCATTTGGGTCGGGGATTCCGTCATACGAGCAGATTATTGGACAGTCTCCTGCCTCAGAGTTAGTCTCTTGGACCCGTGTCTGGTTTACCTTTCCTGTGGCACCATGGGAGACGAACTGGGCACCCTCCCTGCGTGCAATCTCGACCTGCCGGCGGCCGATGCAGGGCCGAGCTACGGCGGTGCCCAGCAGGTATCGGTCCTCGTAGACGGCATTGGCCTGAACTGCGGGCCAGATGAAGTCCTCCACAAACTCTGAACGCAGGTCTTCAATGAAAACCTACACAAGAATGGACGTCAGGACACAGAACAGTGTTTAAGTGTAATGTCTTCTTTTTTCTCGGCCATTTTTACGTGAGAGATATTGAATGATATTGAAAGAAATAACTGACGATTGTTTGCCACTAAAGAGCTTTGTCTCACACTAAGTATGTGATGTGAACGCAGAAAACAGCAGAATAAAAGAGCTACTGATTTCCATTCATCACAGCATGCTTTGACATTCTACTTTAAGAGGCTGAAAACTTGCTTTTGGTCATTATCATTGCATATTAAAGCCGTAGAGAACATTCTGAAAAAGATCTGATATCGAGACAGAACCGAGCAACAACGTATTTCATTCATTCTGCCTCTTACCTTCTTTGCGCCGAGATGTTCTGCCTTTTTCCGGGCAGATTCAAAATCTTCATCTTGCCCAATGTTGGCCTAGAGAGACACAAATGTAATTGCACAATAAAAGTGACTCATTTATATGCATTGTCGCAAACACTTGCATCTGAAACTAAACTGCAGTTCCTTCCCTTCAGAGCTCTTGCAGAATGACGCGCAAGCCCTCCGTGTATTAACATCCCGGCTCGTGACCGTGCAAGCGTTAAACCTGCCAAATCGATGATCTTGTAATTCAGATCACGTCTGTTGAGATGTTGGAATCACCTCACGGTGGAAACCAAGCACGGACACCGCTTTGAAGAGGCCATCTGATCTCCTGAGCTGAACACTAAACAAGGAAACACATTCCTGCAATGACGTGATACTAGTAAACAAAACGGGCAAACCTGCAGCGCAACACTAAACTATGCTTGTGATATTTTTCAGTACTTTATCATTTTAATTTCAGTGCAGTAGATTAAGGATGAGTCACATTCGATACATATCACAAAACCTCATGACATTCAGCTTGTGAATTACACTTCTTGCATATCCGGTGCTTTGTATGATTTTATTTTACATACAGATATCGACGTGGCAAATTAAAAAACCTCATTTCACATTCCAGGGAAAGGCATAAGCAGTTATCATTGTGTATTTCTGCCTGACTGTTTGCTGACGCATCAGTCTCCGACAAGTCGAAGCACGTTTCATCAGAGACAATCATGTCACTTATCACAGCCGTGAACTACAGACAATCACACCCCCCACGCCCACACTACGACCCACAAAGCCACTGAATGAAAAGTTAGACAACATGGAAATCTGCCTGCTTTGCACTTCTAAACTGCCTCCTGGCAAAAAGTAAATCCAGCTAGATTTGTGCTGGCATTATGAAGCCACATGCTGTGTGGTTGGTCGTTAGATGGTCGGTATAGCTCCAACCGGTTTTGGGGTAAACCCTTACATGCCCCTGCCTGGAAACAGTCAACTGTACAACTTCAGCATGCATGACATGAAAAAGCAGCTGGTTGGAAGCACACACAAAGACAGACTGGGCTCTAAACCTTACCAAGTACGTGATGACGTCGTAGCCCTGTTCCTTCAGCCAGACCAGAATACAGGATGTGTCCAGTCCACCGCTGTAGGCCAGAACCACCGTACCTTTAGACATGATGAGGGCTTGAGTCCAACAGGTGGAGAAGCTGTCGAGGAGGCAGAAGAGAAGAAGTTAGCAGGGACTCCATTATATTGGTCACTAGCAGGGGAGGAAATGTCAATGTGTAACCTGAGTGTACTAACTAGGATCTCTTATGTTGCCATTTGACTATTAGGACGTTTTTTTATTTCAGATTCTTTGCCCATTGAAAAAAAAAAATAAATAAAAAAATGCATTGAGGAAATACAACACATACAACAACGCGTTTAATTTCATTCATGATTTCTGAGCATTTAGAGTATAAATCTACCATTGTAATAATATTTTCTGCCAGTGTTTGTAACATAATTGGGGTCTGAACGGTAAGTTAACCCGTCAACACCTTTTTACATCCATGATCAGCAATGCTGATGACATGTGCGACATAACATACGCGTATTTTGCCAAAGCAACTGGACACTACGCATGTTAGTTGAAAACACTCGCCGCACAGTGCTGCGTGGTAGCCGCTGATGTGACCGGCAGACAAAACATTGCATTGAAATAAATGAAAGATAAAAACAAGCGGGTGTGTTGTACTTACGAGAGAGTGATTCGTGTGAGGTAAGAGAGCGTTATGCAGAGACGGTGTCGGCGTTGGTTCGTCGGCGAGGACTGGAGAGCAGCGCGTGCTTCGGCCACTTCGGTCTGACTGGTCAAACTCGTATTGCATCATCCATTCACAAATGTTGGAAGATGCTGGCAGGTTGCATTGTGGGAGTTGTAGGACGCAGCATTTGGAGCTCCACCAATACCTCCGCATAAAGTCAGAATATCTTGGCTTCAATGTTGACCATTTCTGTTTTAATAAATCTCTTCTCCTGTGGAAGTGCAATAATAAATACATGGAGTAGCCTTTAAACAGTGGTGGACTAAGCATTCATATAATGTACTTAAGTAAAAAAATATAAATATATTATATTTCAGTGTTTCCTTGTTAAGTTTATTGTAAACAAATACAACTTTGCATATTTGAAAAGCCTCAAGTGTCTTTAAAGACCTATAAACATAAACAACTCCATACCTAATAAAAGCTAGTCCTTATTTATTCATTGTAACGTAAGGTCTTTAAGGACTTTTCTTATATCTCTAAACAAACAAATCCAAAGTTAGGTTTGGAGAGGCATGCAGGGCTTTCTAATTCAACCTTAGGCTCCAAAGAAAACATTAACAAGGCAGAAAAAGGCCGTGTTCATTTATAAAAATGATTTACAGGATTAAAGATATTTTCCCATTAGCTTGCTACTTGTTGGCCATGTGGTGTTATGACTTGTCACCTCCTCCAGTGGCATCATGTCACATAAAGCAGACGGGTCATTCTACAAAAACAGTGGAAGCTGCTGTCACCAAAATCCTTAATAATCACATGAATTATACATATTCAATAATTAAAGACTGTCCTTGCAATGATAAAACTAAGTTCATTCATCTAATTTTCAATGTTGAATTTGGCAATGTATTTAAAATCCTAAATTCTTGTCTTGTCACTTTTATCATACATGGAAGTGGAGCATTGAACATTACATATATAAAATAGAACATTGACAGTTTTAAAAAACATTAAAATATCTCATTAACAATATCAAAGAAATACCGGTCACACAGAATTATGTCATTGGTGCTAATGCTACACAAAACACTTTTATTTTGAAATACTACACTGACCCTTAGAGGTTCTTCTTGGATCAAGAGGTCCTTGAAGGAAGTGCAGTGGACAAAGGCATTTGATAAGTCAGATGTCTTACTTCATTCGTTTAAAATATCATGATACATGTGAGAATTTTGAGTGAAGCTTGTCATTTGTGTTACTCATTTGTTGGCCACAGGGGTTAAAAACTTTTCTAAGAGGCGGTGATATCCTCAAAAAGACTGTATGCTGCTGTGTGGTCGTACTCCATGAGCTACTTCTTCTGTGGTGGATTTACATTAATGTGAATATCTGGTCTGTCATACGGGCTAAAAACCTTGGCCGAGACAGTTTGTATTTTTAAATTTTTATTTCCTCGCCACGACGTTCCAAAATCAATAAACAAATGATCAAAAATACAATATAAACTTTTGAAATCAATACACTGAATATTTTTTTAATTTCTTACACAGGGCAAAAAACACTGAGCAAGTCCGGATATCTATTGACTCGGCTAAGTCCTCTTTGCTTTTCTAGATCGCAGATTACTGTGTTTCATAAACGTTGAGCCTCCCACCCTCATTACCCCCGATCACATACAGACGTACAGTACAAAATGCCAAATAACAAGTCCTGGAACAATTCTGTTGAAACTGTCGATCAAGCACGACTGCAACCCACCAATTTGTACACAATGAACATATCCTCCCCCCCCCCCGATTGAACTCCCCATGAACAAGAGTCAGTTGAGATTGAAGGTGTAAAATCATTTGAAAGTCTACAGTGTCAGAGGACAGAAAACAGGAGAGATGAAACCTGGAGAGTCAAGGCGAGTTGCTGTCAAATCAGTGCCCAAGTTCGATATAAAGAGCAAGTCTCTGACACTAAGATCCAACGGCAAAAAAAGACCAGCATCCATGGGGGGGGGGACGGGGACTGTTGGATTTACTCAAAAAATATGAACGTTAATCTATTATAACTCACGGCATAATACCCATAAAATACAATAAGTTATTTCTACCCCTTCTGCACACAGAACAAAGTAACTTTTGTTGTTTTAATCATCACTTGTATATCTTGCACTTTGAAATACACACGACTTTCTTTCTTGTTGATATGGAAAAAAATCTGGCATTATGTATGATGTAAAATAGAAAAACAAATAGTCCATAGATGGGTGAGGTGGTGTGGGTGGATTAATAAAAAATAAACTAGAAAAGAAACCAAACGGTGTACCCTGGTGGGAGGAACTGGAGGAGGGAAGGTCTTTGAGTCCCAGTCGGTGGGGGAAGTTAGTGGTGCTGCGCAATCCTCTCATCGTTAACCCCCCCTCGGCCTACCACTCTTTCTTTTTCTCATCCATGGACACTCCGCCAGGTCCGAGCGCCACCACTAACAGCAGACCGCCGATGACCGAGGTGGTCTGGAAGAAGTCGTACTTGAGGAAGTCGTGCATGGGCTTGTAGGCGGGGACGGTCCAGAAGGCGTTGAAGTAGACGTTGATGGCCAGAAGCCACACGACGAGGGTCAACGCCGCCAGCTTGGTTTTGAAGCCTATGGCCACCAGGATGATGAGTGCAGTTCCAACCATGTTCTGCAGGATCTGTGAGAGAAAGTTACAAGTAGTCGGGTGAAGATGTGCACCTTACAGTATACTGTATGTTCACCACGTCACAGATTGCCGGATTTTGAATGATTGTCCGCTTGGTGAAATTGACACACCAATAGCAGCCACTCCTCACGCAGTAGAGGAGAGAGACGTATAGCAGGGGGAAAACGAGCACAATAAACTCACAGCTGTGTGACAACCTGTTCTCTGCCGCTTTGTGTCATATAGTTGCTAAAGGGTGCCTTGTGCCACGGTATCAGATGCCGAGGGGTGTGCCAAAGCGGCTGTATTTGACCTGGGAATGAGAACAGGCTGCAGGCTGCTTATTGGCTGGGGGTTACACACCCAAAGTCTCTTTGCCCAGCAACGCCCTAAACACAGCAAAATAAGAGGGTCCCTGTAGATTAAGACACCGCCACACACTTCTAGTGGGTCATAAGTGATGATTGAAAAGGATTGTTTTTGTATCAATCTATGCATTGTTTTTAGGGAATTCCTGCATATAATACTTTGAAACAAACAAGATGTATTGTGTTAGTAAGTGAGCTTTAAAAAGGTGTTAGTCAGGTGGATTTTGTTAGAGCCTGGATAGCCGTTTCCTTTCTTTGTGCCAATTATAAAAAATGATATTAGCTTAGCCTATTTAGTGGCATCGATCTTCTCATCTATCGCTAGACAAGAAAGCAAATACCTTTACTTTCCAAATTGTTACATTTTTCATTTACGCCTGCATCTAATAGCTTTGTATTATGTCCGTAAGTAGTGGTGGCGTAGCATTGGTCGTGACTTAATGATGAAATAACCATCTGTGTTGTTGTCAGTACTCACAGAGAAGAAGTTGGAGTCAAAGTGCAGCAGAGTCATGAACATGAGCACGAGCAGTACTCGACCACCCAGCTGCATGTACTGCTTTGGCGAACTCTCCCCCATGGAGGGGACTCCAGCAAACATGCTCTTCCCTTCCGAGCGAGACTCGGCCAGCAGCAGCAGCAGACCTCCTCCGAGGGCGAGGTTTCTGGGAGAGGGGAGAGAGAGGATGGTTATTTTAGGACAGACCTGCAGTCAGTCAAAGTTCATATTAACAACCAACAGCATAAAGACTAAAAAGTACACTAAGGCAGACACAGAAACACTACAATGTAGGACTGTATTTAAGGGATTTCTCTGATGGCCGATGACTCATCTGTCTTGTTGATGTTTAAATAATTCACAGGTCTTGTTGACAGTAATTGTTGGTGTCTGCTTCACAGCTAAACAGCTTCCTCCTTAACTACCATAGCAAATTAAAATGTCCAATGCTGCAGAAAAAGCCCTGCATGCTGTCAAAGTCAACAAGACACTTCTCATCTGTGATCATAAGCAGTGAAATAAATAAAGAACAAGAGCAGAAACCACCTACAAAGAGACACTTACCTCATCAAAAATTTGAGGTCCCATAAAATGCTGTATGCAACAGTCTGGTGGAAAAAAAGACATTCTGATCAGATGCAGAAAGACACATTGCTCGTGTAAATCAAAAGTGTCATTGTAACTCGATTGTTCTTACCTGTAGCGCTATGATGCCAAATAGTCCGAAGCAGGCATACTGTACAAAATTTCTACTAAGGATGAGGACACAACCACCTGTTAGGACACACAAAAAGATGTGGTCATTATGGCAGCAACACACTGTTTGTGTTAAAATGTAATAGAGTAAAACAACAAATTTCACTTGTGCACTTTAGCATAATCTGTTTTTTGCAGAGACGTTCAACTGGTTTTGAGCAAAGAAACTCGGCTGCAGCTTGCATGGAGGAAGCTTTAATGTATTTTGACGTACCTATGCAGCTTTTCTAATGCAATATTTACAAAAAAAGGGCATACAAATATATGACGGGAAACCCGGCTAATGTAGCTTCATATTCTGGTTCTCACAGGACAAGAACAGAACCTGACATCTTGACATTATCTTCTGTCTTCTGCTACACTTTGGGTGATGCCTTCAACAGTGTGCAAATGTCTAGACTTACAGCCAATTTGCTTCAAAGTTCAAGGAGCTCAGGGATGCATTTTCACAAAACACTGCAACTGATTCGTGGACAAGTGGGCTGCCTCTTGGCTTCCTTCAACAAGTCTTGTCTGCCCCCGCCCCCCCCCCACCCCTGCGCTCTCTAATCAGCAAGATGGTATATAAGCAAAAAGTAAAGTTCTGTGTTTGTATCAGTCTATTGCACAACTTTCTGCTAACTGTAGACACTATGTGGCTGAAACGGACTGAGCACACTTCTACAATAGCCGTTTGATTTACTAGTTTTAGTAGTTTTTATGTCACACACACCACCCAGTAACACCACAAAAACATGCAACTTGCTACCGTGAACTCCGAGGTGACTCGTGTTGTGTCCGGACCGTAACCCGACAATGCACTGCCTCCCAGTCACTCACCCAGCTGTCCTATGAGGTTCAGCAGCACAAAGAAGGTGGCCAGGAAGTAGCCACAGCTCCAGGTAACCTCGATGTAGTCCCTCTGCTCGTTCCACTGGAACCACATGCGGATGCCATCTTCCAGGAAGGTGCTGATGAGACACAGGCGCGCCAGGTGGGGCAGATACTGTTTGGTTATCCTCAGGAACTGCGCAACAGAGAAAAGGAAGGGAAGAAATGATTGACGAGAAAAACCGGTGGCTTGAAGTGTAAAGAACAGTCAGGATGTGGTTTGTGAGGCGTTCCTGAGCTTGCATAACCAAGAAATCTCATTACTGTGTCACCAAGCTGTAACACACATAGCTGAATTATAACAAAAGCCCCCTGAAGACTCCTTTAAATAATAATATTCTGACTCCGCATCACTGCTACAATGCCAAACGCTTCTTGTGTTATTATGAGTTGAAGTACGCTGAATGTCTACACACACACACACACAAAAGAAAGAGACTACCATGGGATCTTCTCTCAATCATAATTAATGAATGGATCCTCAGATAGTACAGTGACCCAGTAGAGGTGCAGCACCCTGCCCCGCCTACTCAGCAGTCCACATCAGCACTGTGAAACCTCGGCAGCCTATCAGCGTCCACCAACTCCCACTACGAGTGCTAAGTGGGACATGAATGGACGACGTGTGAGCCAATCCGAACAGGCCCGAGGTCCCTGCAACAGTCTGGAAATAGACCATTTTGGAGCAAGTAACATGCTCAGGACCCCTTAGCAGAGCTTTTTACAAAGCAAATAAAGCGAGACGTGTCACTTCCCTTTTTCCGAATGCTTTACAATACCCAGCACTCCACTCCACTACAATAAAGTTGTATAGACAGAACTGACTCCAGGACTAACAGTACTCTTCCAAGGATACAGAGAACATTTAAAAAGTCTGTCCAGTCCTGCAAAAGACACAACACCATGAAGCCTGTTATGAGCCAGACGACAGTACTTTTCAAATGACAGAAGGTAACGTTACAAAGGACACAAAAAACCAAATATCTGGGGCTTTTTTCACAGTCTACGTTGCAACATGGGGTCACAGGCACGACCTGTAATCTGATCCTCAAATCTCAGCTTCTCAGTGAATTCCCTGTCGTCCCACCAGTACATGAAAAACCCTCAGAGAGACACAGACATAAAAGGCATCTTTGGCATGTAACATAAAGTGAAAGTCCAGGTTTTTGGGGGCGAGCTGTGTGGTGGGGCAGCTCTGTCAAGGCCACAAGCAGATACTAAGTTTAAGAAAAAACAAATGCTTCTCTTATTTAGAGATACTACGCAACCCTAAGCCACAAGCAATGCCAAGCAATTAGGGTGTCAAGACACAAATTGACAAATAGCCGTTAGCTCATAACTTGGAGGCTAAGCTGATTTCACAACTGCTGTCTGGCTGAGATGCTGTACGACAAGCTAACTAGTTGGCATAATGATGCAGCCCTCCATGTTTGTACCAGTTATTGTTTGCTAGGTTGGTCGTTCCCAAACAAATGTCAGTTTCACTTTTGTCGGCGTGAATAAATAATGCTAGCTAATCCATCTGGAGACACATGACAGCACACAGATCGCTACAATATGTGTCACACAAAAATAAAAACACGAGCAAATTAATCAAATGTCACGTTAATGCGGTCAGCTATCTGCTGTGGGTTTGTAGAAATATAAATGAAAGGCGTCAGAGGAAACACTCTCTCTCTCTCTACATTCTCAGAGAAACTAGTTAGCAGCTACCATGCTAAACGCGGCTAGCGTTAACTAGCCGTGCTCAAAATCGAAGTTACCTGGTCCGCCACGTCTTCGGCTGTGTTCATGAGATCCTCCTGTCCCATATTTGTGTAATAATACGCTTTTTAATAGTGAAAGCTCAGCGCAACACAGTTCTAATGTGTTGTTTTGTCGCAGGCTGCACTAAGGACTGCTCCTCCCCCCGTTAAACGTTATTTACTTGAAGATCTCCCGACCGCCTGTACGCAGAGAAAAGGCCGCCTCCGCTCCCACAATGCCCCGCGATTAGCCGAGAGAGACAGAGCCCCCCTAGATGGTACTGCAACCGCCGAATGCCACGTATACTGATCCGTCCAGGGGCTTGTTTTCGGCGTGTACACATGAAAACAGGCACAATACTACAGGTGGTACCGACCTGAATTCATTTTTTAAACTATAATTTGGTGCACATGTTCATGTTCAACCTTGCAAATGCTGCACGCACTCATGCAATCCGTGCAGAGTTTATAGATGGCTGTACTTTCGTGACAGATGTGCGTTCCTTGTCTCTTAAATTGGTTATTATTGGGTCTCTTAGTCCTTCACTTAAATAAAAATGACAAAGCCAACACATTTAGTTCACGCTACTCTACTTAACAGCTCTTTTCATTAAAAAACAAACATATTTCACATATCTTTTGATATTTGAAGTATAACTTTTTTTAAATTTATGATTCTTGACCACTTGATTTTCCTTTTCTCTTACTGTGTTTGTTGTTATGCACCATTATATTAAGGCAAATTCTTTATTGTGCGTGCACCAACTTGACTAAAGCTGATTGTCAAGCATTCAAATTATGATTATCATGAATAAATCTGAATTTGACTGCCCTTTATGGAAATATGAAATAATTGAATGTGTAAATGGATGAATGAACAAATAAATGGCAGTCCTTTTCACACAGGAGCTGTAGCCTACTACTCAAACAGATCACGCAACAGGTTTTAACACAGAAACTTAATGCTCACACTTTGTTTAATTTCCACAACTTGCCCAAAAAAAATCTATAGATGAATAATAACTTGAGGGAAAACCAACATAAGTGTCTTGGTAACGTGTTGGGGAAGCGTCATTTCTCTGACACTCTGGAGATGAGAACAAGATGTTCCCTCATTCAGGGTTTTAATGATGATGGTAATCACTGTCTAACACCGTCTGTTCCCAATTTCACATACTGAAGGTGTGCAGTTTATTAACTTTTTGCCTCCAGCTAACTACAAATGCCTCATAATTTACACACAGATATTTGGCTGCTGGTGATGATGTTGGTGTGAAGATGATAAACATAACTGCAACAAGAGAGCAGAGCTACGTGAAGGGAATTGGGATGGAGGTGTAAAAAGGGGCCTCATGGCTTGTTAACTGTAGAGCCCAAAGACACAAAGTCTTTCTCGACAGTCCCGTCAAGAAGCTGCCGTAATTTCTGATATAGCTGTCTAAACTGTTTGCCAGCCACATCAGCAATTACCGACTGCAGCAGAGTCAGGTGGTTGTTTTTCATGCTGCATCTTCAGCTACTTTATAATCTATTAGTATAGACTACATAGTCCTGTGTGAGAAATGTCTACACCTCATGAGTAATTATGTATGCACTAGATGTACTAAATGTAGATGCATGTCAGGCTACATTTCTTTCTTGTAAAATTCACAAATTAAAAGAAGTTTTTTTTTTTTTTATAAATAGTACTTCTCTTGACATAGTTTGTTTGTAAAGGTCTGTCTTACTTTTTTATCCATTTTATGCTTATTATGGTTAAAAAAAACAACCAAAAAAACCACAATGTTTGCAGATCCAAATTAAGTTGTATTTCATACGAGCACACATGGACAAACCACACAATACTTATCCAGTCAACATTATGTCACATAAACCAGCCTCTTTGGAACATTGCAACATCACAATTTGGCAAACGGACAATCTTTCATATGCTGAAAATATGAAAACTCTACTGGATGTTCACCAGGTCAGGCTGGCTCAGACAGGAATACTACTCCAAACTTAGAAGTTGATCTCTGACAAATTACCAGTTATAAAAATACTGTATGAATGCGGCTTTGCTTTTTACTTTCCATTTGCAATTTTTTCATGTTTCTTACGCCCTGATTTCCAGTTGTTTTTTCTGAATTTCTTCTGTAAACCACCGCCCTGTTCCTGAAAGACATAAATATGATAGCATCAATGTCAGTCATGGAAATATACATTTCATAGGTGCCAGCTATTTTCATCGATTCCACATGAAAAAAAATGTGATTTCATATTTATACAGACCTTCTTCCGTTTCTGCAGCACCTGCTTATCCACTTCCATTTCCTCCCCTTCATCGGTCATGAAGTCGTCTTCCCCCACATTTCCGTCCCCCGCCATACTTTCTTCAGTCTCGTTTTTTACGGTGAACATAGTCGCTGTGGAAACACATGGCACAGCAAAGTCAAGCTGCTTTTCTACAAGTACAAGACAAACTTGGTTTTGCCTGGAGCGAACCATCATGACACGCAGTCGAGATATAATAAAAAGTGGACAGGGATATCTACAGTGTGTGCACTCGGGACACTGACCAGGGTAGAGGTCACTCATGCTGTCTTCTGAGTCGCTGTGGTCATCGTCGCTGGATGAGGGTTCCCACGACTTACTCCCTTGTTTTGAGGGCTTCCCCCGACTGACCTCTTCTCTGGTCTCTTTGGGCCTTTTCTGTTTCAGTCTGGCTGGAACGAACTCTATCCCTTGCTTCACACACTCTTCATCTAGAGCAGGAATGAGACCGTCATGTCAGTGATCGAGTTGACAGTGTGAATTGTCTTATCTGCGGTGGACATGGACTGCATGGTGATAATACTGATGGAACATTGTAAGGGTTTCCGATCTGTGTGAAAACAACCGTATAGCTTCATGAAGACTACTGTTAAGTAATATTATCATGGGAAAAACTGATAAGAAACGAAGCAATACTACATGTCCATCAGTATGAAATACAAACTCTACGTGACTAGATAACTGCCTGGATGATAGAAAAAACTCCAAAAATATGTTTGAAAATATTGATAAAGCACATTTAGAACGATTGTGTTCAGCCGGATATACATTTTTATATACACGAGATAGCTGCGATTTCCTTCCTGACAAAAAGTCTATGTGATGTGTGCCTTCGGTAGTGAAACAAACAGAAACAAAGTGCCATGCATGTAGAATGAGAGATGCGCTGACATTTGGAGAGGGCTTTCTTGAAGCGTTTCCCGTTGACATGTCTCAGGACGTGATGTGGCTGCCGGTTGAGGTGTCTGAGGGTCAGCTTACAGAAGAGCTGCTTGCTGGAAAACAGACAAGAGACAATTACACAAGTGCAGATTAGCTTCACACATTCAGCCCATTTCCGAGTGAGTCACTGTGTCATTTCCTGAACAAGCATCGCCACTGTTGCAAGTAAGATAAGGAAGGTGTTTGTCGTGCAAAGTGAGAGTGTCCTTACGGTTGTTTCGAGCTTGGCACAACGTGAGGTTCATACTGGCTGTAGTTGAACTCTGCTGCTACACTCAGTTTCTCATATTTCTTCCCTTTAGTGAAATTGTGTAGCTCCGTCAGGTTGCATGGAAACTCGTGGCCATTCAGAGTACATTTGATCTGAAAATGAAAACAAACAATTTGACAGATGACCATGTGGCCAGTGCATGGCTCGTGTGATAAACTAGCAATACGGCTAGCACAACAGTGCGTTTCGTGTAAATGTGATGTTTTTAGCTCGCTGACCTTTTTGTCGTCTATAAGCTGGAGAAAAGGGTGGTTACGAAGAAATGCTTTGAGGTCCGCGGGTAATTCGTCCATGGCGTGTAAAACACTTCAAAACAGACCTTTCAGTGTGTTGATCAGGCCCATCCGTACAGGAAATGACTACACGTGGGTCGTTGGCGTAGACTCTGTTGCATGATATGTTAGCGCCATCCACTGGCCAAAGGAAGGAAGGTCAGCTTAAACGAAATGTTCAAACAACACCCTGAGTAACGTTAAAGCTTGGGGTTTACAGTAATGCTCACAGGGAAACTAATTAAATAAGTAGAAAACTAGTATTATATGACTGGATACAATACATCTGCTGCTATAGCACAGACTCGTCAATGCATGCGGTATCTGTCGCTATTGTGACAATAAACTGAGTAAGTTCAAGTGACTATAGAGGGCAAAAATAAACTTTAATTGGTTTATGTCAGTCAGCTGATGTCAGCTGACTGACATCAGCTGACAGCTCGGAATGAGAGAGCAGGAAAACTACAGAGGGCCCACTCTGGTCGTATTTTCAGGACTTTCACTTTAAATTAAAATGTTAACTATATCCGAAAAAAGGGCACTAGTAGTAGTAACATAAAATAACGTTTTAAAGATAATTTGAGCTGTACGATTTAGGATATGTTCACCACTACCCGTCGTGATTTATGTACAGAGTGAGTGTTCTTGTTACTACCAGGCATATCTTTGCTGATAAGTTAAAACCCCGCCCACATATTTCCCATGATGCACTACTTCAGTAAACAAACACCTGACCGTTAACCAATGACAACAAGTCAAGCTAGCTAGATATCTAGCACCGTCGGAGACTACCTCTATGAATCTGTGGATTTATCCAAACTGTCTGAAAAATAACCTTTAAGTAGATATTTAATATTGAGTTTGTTGAGCATAATGTCTGGACCAAATGGAGATCCAGACATCTCAATGGACGATGGTATCAACGACGAAGATGAGTTCGAGGACGAAGGTAATGCGCTAATGTGTTCATTCTTTGTGGTAACGTACGTTATAATAGTAACGTTATTACAGTGAGATTCTTTTTCGAAATGCTGATGTATCAGCAAGCTTCTGTATACTTTTAACGGCCTTAAAAAGCAGTATTAGTCCACTTGTGTTATCTTTAAATACACATATGCAGTAATATCTTAACACGGGTTAAATCAACTCTAATTTTGACATGTCATGCATGAGACACATGAGAATAACATTTATTTTTACAATCAGCACTGAAGACTAGAAACGCTCTGCAAGAAACGCTTTTTACTCTGCCTGACAGAAATGACTGATCTCTCTGTTGCACATCCACAGAGTACGAAGCCATCAACTCCACGCTCGATCAGATCAACTCCTATCTGGATGACCTGGAGGATCGGAATGATTCGCTTAACGGCAAACTGCACGAACTAATGGAGTCAAACCGGGAAGCCAGGCTGGAGTTCAGGGCCCAACTGCTCGGCTCCCAGACTCAGGAGCAGCCATGTCCTGCAGACGGGGATTCCTCCGCAACCAGCAGGGAAGACGTGAATAAAGACGATGGGGACTGCAAATGAGTGATGAGGAGGAGAGGGGGGGTGCTGAGTTAATCAAAATACATGGATGGAAATATTTAGTTGACTCAACTCCTTACTTCTGTCTGTTGTACCAATGACCCTTGATCTGCATAGTTAATGCCTATCCGATTCTTCTTTATCGGCAGATGTGACATTTTGCTTCTCCTCCGTCACCTCATCATGTTTTTCTCCTTTGTTGAACTGTGATGTGCTGATGTTTGGTTCCTTAAGCAGATTGAAGTCTCTAGCAGCTTCTTATACAAGCTGCACACCACCTGGGACCATTACAGTGAAATCTAAGTCGCATGTGTTGATTGTTAAGCTGTGACATCATGGCAAGAAATTCTAAAGCCAGGAAGAAACGAGACATTTAAAAACAGTGACAGTGACCTGTATAACATTCCTCGAGAGTTGACCATGATCTTAAGAATCTGTCTTCATGGCCAAATAGTCAAAATAGTCTTTGTAGTGTGCTGATCCATTTGGTTTCAGCTTTGTAATAGCTCTAGTCTCCGTTAGTCTCTGTTCCTGTTTGATTCATCCCAAAAAGTAAATATGCAATACTACAGATGTCTACCAGTGTATTAGGTTTGATCTGCAGCATGACTTTAAATCTGCTGCACTGTTGTTTATTAACCTGTTGAGGATAAGTGAGTTGATACGAGTTTGTGCAAGTTAAATAATAGCCACAAAGTCAAAACGAAGTCAATCAAGTGGGAATTGTCAGACATTTTAATATAAATTAAAATGACCCCCCCCAAAAAAAAACAGAAAACAAAAATCCCAAAATACATACAACTTCCAGCAGTTAGAAAACAACACCTGTCTGTTCATCTCAATGTAGTCAGTAGCTGAATAAAAATACAATAAGAAACATACAGCTTTGTTTATGTGTCGTCTTTGCTCTCCTCTGTTCTCAAAGTAGCTTCACGTCCTCGTTCCCTTCAGACAGAACGTGATGCGGTACGAATCACGTGACCGTCGCCACTCTTGAGTTTCCACATGCATCAGCCAACCACTTGTGGTTTAAAATATCCTTCTCTAGTATGGAGGAATGAAATGTGTCCAGAACAGCACACACTGGTCTTTGAGGCCTTGTGGCTGCTGAAATGTTGGAACTATAGATCTGCGTTTGTAGAATCTGTGACTGAGATAATCTGTGTGTGAGACTGCTGAGTCAGCTGGGATTCCATCTATCCAGTGTATATAGCAAACTAAACATTAAGAAAAAACAATGCAATGGTAAATTGGAAGAAACAAGCAACTACCACTAAGCATTGTCAGTGAATGAAAATGAAAGCAACTTTTTTTTTTTTTTTTTTTTTTAAAAATATACCTGCCTTGATTGACAAGCTTTCAAATTTCAAAATGCACATGATGCAGCTTTTTGCGCTGAATATCATTTTAGTTTAACATTAGAATGACTACAAGGGTTTCTTTTCCATTGTGCACAGATGTAAAAGTGTTTTTAGACATTTTGCTGCATTTTTACACTATATTCAGCTGCTACAGATCGTGTTGAATCCAAAACACAATTTAAACATTTAACTATACAAAAAAAATGTCCAATTGCTGGCACCCGTTCAGTGAGAAGGCCACAACTATTGTGCGCCAAACACGACATCAACTGGAACCCAAAAATGTCTAAAAATGAAACAGATAATGCGATGCCTTTGAACAGAGCTGAGATCAGCATTTCTGAACACTCGAGCCAAAGTCCCCTCCTCACACTCCCTTTAAACCACCTGCTCTAATACTTCCAATCGGTCACATTCTACATCTCAGCTCGCTAAAAGCATGTGCTAATGTAAGCAATGTTGAAAATGTCTCCACTGGTAGGTTACATTACTTTAACTATCGTTCATCTAGCTAGCTAGAGAATTAGCAAATCTGACAATCAGCATTCTGATCCTTGAGGACACCAGGGTGGGAAGGTAACTTTGTGAGGAGAGCCAGTAATAAGAGTAGTAAGACCAGCAAATTCCAGCTATTTAATAGTTAATTAGTATCATGGAAAGTAATTACCAGAGTTTCAATTGCAGATGGGGGTAACCTAAAAAAATAATATGGATTTCTCATATTTCCCCTCATGTCAAACTACACCTTAAATACTGTATGAATTAAATCTGAATTTAGCTTCTATAATTTTACGTGTCTCAATCCCATTCTACTTGAGAAAGTATTATTGTGATGGTGTACTGCTTTAAAAAAAAAAAAAAGTTATTTTAGGCAACATTAATGCAGTTTTTACAAATTAGTAAAAACTGGAAGGACATGGTTTGTTGTGAGCTACATGTACTTATGTTATAATGATGTCATTCTAAAGGTGAGGCTGGAGATTATACTACTCAAGAGCAACAATTCTCTCACTGGGAGCCAATATTAAGATACTTACCCCCCCCATCACTGATTCAACATGTACGCAATAGCCGGCTGGTGTTAAATTTCCCACCCTGGGAGAGCATCAAATAAGAAGTCCTGTTACACCGTGATGTACCATCGTTCTTCCTATTTGTTGGTGTGTGTGTGTGTGTGTGTGTGTGTGTGTGTGTGTGTGTGTGTGTGCTTAGTTCAGACTTTCCAACATGGAGAGAGGCAGGGCTGTTCACTTCTTGGTTTCATGAAAGCACCTCTTCGAATATCGACACATCCTGTCCTAAGGGTTCCCACTCTTTCCACATCTCATCTCTGACTCAGCGTCTGTTTGTGGCCCTCCCTGACCTGCGTTTGGTTGTGGTTTTTGCCTTCTTTTTTCCTGGGACAGGGGGAGCTTCCTTCACTTCCTCCTCCTCCTCCTTCTCCTTTACCACCTCCTCCTCCTTCTCCTTCTCCTCCTTCTCCTCCACCACCACCTCCTCCTCCTCCTCCTCCTCTACATGAGCATCCTCAACAACAGCTGCTGGCTCTGGTTCTGGCTCTGGCTCTGGCTCTGGTTCTGGCTCTGGTTCTGGCTCTGGCTCTTGTTCCTCTCTGCCACCATCGGGCAGCTCAGCCGGACTCTCCAGACCCACAGAGACCTGGGATGTGCTCTCTTCCTCCTTGCAGTGGAGGCCGAGCTCTTGGTCCGTGTTGCCCGTGCTGGTCGCTGAGGTGCCGATGAAGTCCTGGGAGTTTTGGTCAGGTTCCGCTTGTTCCTCCCGTTGCTGGTTTTCCGTCTGCACGTCCACTCGGCTGAGTGTAACGATAGGCTGCATGGAGTTCAGGTTCGTCACTAAACCGGCATCATCAGAGTGGGAATTTTCCACCGGACAGTCTGTGCTGGTTGCCGTTACAGGCCTGAGGCTGTCTGCAGCGAGGAGAGACTCTCTGGAAGACTCAACAGCTTCACTCTTTTGACTCAGCAACTCTCTGTACTTCTGAGAAGAAGAAAGCATACGAAAATACTGCACATTTAATATAATATAATGTGAAATTCCTCAAGGATAACGCACATTGATGCACCGTAACGTCACATTCAAACGTTCATCAAACACCAACCTTGAGGTTCTCAAAGTGCTTGATTGTTTTGCAGTGGGTGTGCAGGGCAGAAGAGTCAAAGTGATAAAACTTGTTGCAGATTCTGCAGATAAAACCTGCAACTGGAACAAAAAAACTGGACCCTGCGGTGAAAAGAATTCAAGAAGAAACGTCACTCCGATGTTGACGCTAAATCCAAACAACGATGACATGCAGGGAGACCACAAAATGAAATATTCAGTAATCTGGAGTTGGTCGTCACTCACCGTAGACTGTGTTAGCGTCGTACTGCTCATCACTGGCCATGTCCTTTAAAGTCACTTCTTTAAGGCAGGACCAGTCCTCCTGTAGCAGGTCACCAGAGACACAGTAAACAACTATACGATAACACATGCACCAACTATGAGTTCTAAGTGTTATTCACTGGCCATTAAATGCATATACTGTCAATTGGGAATTACAAAGAACACATTATATGCAAATCACCTGTTCGTTCAGTCTTTCCTCCTCCATCTCGCTGCACTCCAACTCTTCCAATGAGAAGCCGTATGTGTCCAGCTTGCCTAAGGCCTCACAGCCCTCCTGTTCCTGGAGCTAGTGAACAGCAGCCAGTTCAGCATGAATATTTGATTTCATCTTAATTAGCTTGTTGTGTCGTGGTTTTAAAATCACTATGAACACAGATACCTTCTCCACTTTCTGCCTGTGCTCCCGGGACTGCAAGTGCTCCACAAAAATCTGGGAGGTCCTGAAGTGTTTCTTGCAGACGGTGCAGGAGGAGATGACTGTTCTGCTGGCCAGCTGAGGAGAGATGAAGAGATCATTGCGGATTATTCGCGTTGTCAAGCTTTTCTGAACTCCACATTTAAAACCATGTCAGTGAGCGGCTTTACTTTGTGCTCCTCGGTGCGTCGGTGGTCCGTGATGCTACTGGCGAAGTGGGTGTGACAGGTGGCACACCAGTGCTTTGAGTCCGCCCTCTTTTCTCTGCAGAAAACACAGGCGAACATTAGTTATAATTATTATTATTATTATTATGGGAGAATAAAAAAAAAAACACAAATCATACGCATATGCGTGAGTGTCGAATGTACCCGTCTTTGTTTGCTTCCTGTAGAGTCTCCTGCACTCGGGGCAGCAGAGTGACCAGACAAGCATTGCTCATGTGTTGGATCTCCATCATCCTCTGCTGGTGGGAAACACTGTTCATGTGACTCCTGAAGTTCTGAAAAAACAAGATAGAAGAGTTAAATCAATTTGCCACATTCTCAACAAACACCAGCAACTATTCCCCCCCCCCCCCCCCCCAAAAAGAGCTAATTCCACCATTTCCTATGTATCTTGATGTGTGTGCAACCTACTGGCTGGTTGTAGCAGGTAATGCTGCAGAGATAGCAGTAGAACTTGTTGTTGCCCTCCGCTACACCCTCCTCTTCTTCCTCCTGGTTCTCGGGTGAAGCCAGAGGGGCGTCTTTGCCATGTGGCATCTCCTCTGACAGCAAGTCATCTTCACTCAGCTTGCCAGACGGGGACGGGGCCGACAAGCAGCTGTGCACCTACAAAGAGGTCCCAAACCAGAAGTTAATCCAGTGTCATACATTCATTTAACCGAGATATGACGGAGATATACTTTACACAGAGAGGTTGACAAATACTGCCAACCGGCATTGACCCACCATTGTGATTTGGTTACTTCTAAATCTATCATTTAGTGTTAACAGTATTTTGTCCGTGACCTGACCATCCTAAATAAAGGCTCCTCTCACCTCAACAGCGCTGCTCTCCTCCAGCGCCTCAACAACATCTGATCCCCCCGTGGAGCATCCTTCTTCCAGAAGGATGCAGTCTGGGAAAAGAAGAAAACGCGTATTACAGCGAGTTCTCATCTCAACTGACCTAAACTACTCTACATTTAGATTAAATGAGTGCTTAGTGAAAGTATTTCAAACCATCTACTCTAGGTTGCTGTGGGGTTTTACCTTCAGGCTGGCTGTCCTCACCATCGCTGTTACACTCAAAAGACGGAACTTCCACTTCTGTATCTGCAATGGTGATGGTCTCAACACCACATTGTTCTTCGGGTTCCTCTGACCTGAGAGAAAAATTGCAGAATAATTTGAGGTTGTTTGAGACGGTCAACACTGGATGTCAAGATTTTCTAGCAGAACTACATTCACGGCTATAGAAACGTTTTCCCTACCCATCTGTCCTCTGCTTCTTGACTACAGGTTCTTCAAGTTGCTCCTCGGAGGGCTGTGTGGGTTCATCCACTCCTCCTACAGCACCGTCTGTGGGTAGAAAGAGATGGAAACAAACAAGGTAGGAAAAAACATTATCTACAAACAAATGTTAACCACCGATCGTCTCCAAGAAATCTCAAGAGTCACATATGACATTCAACACCGTAACCTATAAGCATGTTTCGGTGCTGGTTGGAGTGCAGCGCTACCTGCTTCAGTCTTGTCGGTGGCTTCATTGGTGCTGCTGGCTGCTGGTTGCTCGTCTGTGCTCCCTGCTGTCATCTGCTCGCTGTCTCTCTTCCTGTCTGGCTGGCGAGCTGCAGTGTCCTACACAAGGAGACGGACAACAGGATTACAAATATTCATCAAAGTCTGAGATAAAGACTTAGAGAAATTAACATGACAATTAAGATAGTTTTAGAGCTGCATATAAACGATTTTGAATGTTGACAAAGAACTGATAATTGCACTTAAATAATGTTGGATTTAATGAGAGCGACTACAATCATTTCAGAGCTTGATCAACCGGTTAAGGCCGAGTTCTGACCCATTTTCCTATCAAAGACAATGAATTTATGCTTCTATCAATTAGCTCAGAAAATGTAAACTCTAGTCATATTTAAATTGATTTTCATGTCCAATCAACCGCCCAAAACCCAGGTATTAAATTTGTAGCTCTATATTCTTGTATTTGGGTCATATATTCCTTCATTACAATGAAAGCATTTGCTGGAGTTTTATACTTGACCAATGATTTGATGCTTTCATATCAAACAGTCGTAAACCCTGATTTTCTTTGAGTGGGCTACGTTAAAACACCGACACAGTGATTATAATCAATATAATGGTGCTGATGTAATTACTGCGGAGGTGATGGAAGAGGAGGAGGAGGAGGAGGAGGCTGCGGTGGTGGTGCTAGTGTTGTTATTGTTATTGTAGTAGCGGGCATGCGGGTGATAATGTCGACCACCCGGGTATCCCATCATGGGGGACTTGATGGCCATCCCCATAGGAACTGGCCCGAGCAGAGACGACCTGGACCCGGGAGTGAAGAATTGACGGAACTGCTGTCCCCCCATCCTGAAGCCCCGCATGTTACCTACATGACAGCAAAGCATGGAACAGACACGCGAGTGAGGACAAAAAAATAAGCAAACAAACATTATATCCCCTTGAAAGATAGACGTTCACTATGAAAATGACAAATGAAAATTCTACTGCTTTTCACTATAATCCAAACCACACCCTGCATCTGTTGCATCAGTAGGGCCCCCTGCAGCATGGGATTGGGGGCCATGATGGTAGTCTGGGTTGCCTGGCACAGGTTGACCATCCTGGGGGGAGGAGCTGCCTGGGAAGGAATAGATCTGCACAACAAATAAACAAGAGTAAATTAAAAATATAGCATCATTTCTCAAGAAATAACCTCACACAAAACAGCTAAAGACACAGACACACACACACACACACACACACACACACACACACACATTATCCTTCTTACGAACCGGGACTTTTACTTTACACATCTGTACCATTTTGAGATGAGCTGAAATCCTAATGTAGAACAATACCAAGTGAAAAGCCAAATGACTTGACACACATGTTCTCTTAAACACAAGCTCTCCGTGATATCTTTCTTGATTATGATGATTAAGTGTAACTGTAACGGCTCTGATGTGGATTAGCCTTCATCAGAAGTCACTTTCCTTCCATATTAGCTTTGGCTCAAAGTACAACGGAGTTGGCCAGTAATTTGGGAATGAAGTGTTTTATATGATCTGCACTTTATCAACACTATCTTTGGGCAGGCCAGATAACAGAGCATGGCAATAGCCCAATGTTTTGTATAAAAGGACACACATAACACTGTTTGACAATAACAAACATTTCTATAAAGGTATGCCAGTGTTGTACAGCTTCTTGCTCCTTTGTTTACCTCACAGATAAAACAATAACAAATCACAGCCTAGACTGACCGCCCCTAAACCAATGGACTAATTCATAGGCAAGCTGTACAAATATCCAAGTTGAATGAACATACTGCACACCTAAGCATTTTCAGTCATCCCAGGAATCGTACTGTCCTGTCCTGTCATGTGTTGTTGTGGCCAGGATTTAAAGCTCAGCTACCGCTCAGCTACCGCACAGCCACTCACACGTCTCACCCGGAGGGCCCTGCCTGATCCCCGGTCTCGAGTTAACACGCTTACCGCTGTGCCTGGTGGTGATGGTGCCCGACATGGTGCCCGGGAGGCGGCTGAGGTGGTGGAGGCGGAGGCTGCTGCTGGAAAAGTTGTTGTAGCTGCCGCAGGTGCTGGTGAAACTGTTGCTGTTGCTGTTGTTGTTGTTGTTGCTGCTGCTGATGGATGTGTGGATTGAACATTACGGGCTTTAAATTTCCTCCGCGAGGAGACGGACCAGCAGCTGTGTGTGACGCTCCTTAAAATGAAATATACCTGGATGGAAAGGAACAAAAAGGTGTAGGATTATGTGCCCCGTTGTCTTCATTGTAAAGATACACTCAATAACAGTGCGCACGTCCCGAGACAACAGGTCTTATCTCACATATTCGTTATGTCAACTAACGTTAGCTAATGCTAGCAAGTGCGCTGACAACAATTTACTTTCTTTGTTTGCTTAGCTTATTTAAATCGCTTCACTCGGTTAGCCAACTCCACAGAGAGACCGGCATGTTATTCTAGTTGTAATCCAGTGACAGTAAATGAACAAGCCAACACCTGCTGTGAAATGAAAGAAGCTACATTAGCCACAGTACCTGCAGCCAACAAGTTAGCTTAGCATAGCACCGAACTAGCTAGCTAAGTCGCAGATAAACCAGCTGCGCCTCCTCGGGTACTTTCTACAATTTACCTTTAGCCACAGTTGATATGACGTACTTCTCAAAGAGTAAAGTGGCGATTCTTGATGATTATCCAACCAAAAGCAAAGCACAAGGTTAAATACGTGTTCTCGGTCCCCGGTGCAACTCGCATAAAGCAGAAACCCCAACCAGCGTCCCCAGTGTAGTGAAGTTAGTGCACACTCTCGCCCCCTGGTGGTAGTCTGGGGAACTGAAAAGGCTTGACGTCTGTCTGTATATTTTAATGTTAAATGTATATTTAATACGGTCAGTGTTTCATTGTCAAACCCCACTGGCTTTGGGAATTTTATAAAAGTTAGTATTTTTAAGGTTCTACATTTTACATTACATTATCTAATACATGTTGTTGGCGTGTTTGTTTTCGCAAAGACTCTGAAGATAGATAGATAGATATATAGATAGATATATAGATAGGTATATTTATACATCAAAGCACAGGCTCTACTGAATTATAAAAAACAAACACACAATGCTGAAGAGTGCCCCCTGGCCTCTGTTCACGGTGCTAACAGATTCAGCACCATGGACAGATCTGTACATAACATTTAAAAACTGGATGCCAAATTTCCCATCTCCGTGCACCTTTCCAACTAAAACAAAGGTGTTAAAGAGTCTCAGTGAAATAAGACACTAAAGTGTGGCTTACTGTAAACAGAACAATTTGACGGGCAAGTACACAGTGAACGTACACCTACACCACCGAGCGGTGTGCGTGGAGAACTGCAGAGATCTCTCCTGGGAAAATACAAGAGATCATCCTCATCCTCCCCTCCCCTATTGCGCTCGGTGGAGAGGAGTGCAGGCTATACATGTTCGGCGGTGGAGAGAGAGAGAGAGAGTCCCATAGCTGAGGTTATCTGACACACCGAGGAGGCGCAGTCAATGAGGGGGCACACAGAAAAGTGAGCGCAGTCCAAAAAAAAAAACCGCCCTCTAAACGCGAGATTGGCGAGGAGGGAAACATAAGACTAAATCCTTCCCTGCTCCGACAAGGGAGATACACTACCCATTGCATCGCAAAGATGGGGAACCGGGGGATGGAGGATTTGATTCCTCTGGTGAACCGCATGCAGGATGCCTTCTCCGCCATCGGGCAGAACGCGAACCTGGACCTGCCCCAGATCGCCGTGGTGGGCGGCCAGAGTGCGGGGAAGAGCTCGGTGCTGGAGAACTTCGTCGGGAAGTAAGTGGCTTTTTTTCCCAGGCTGCAAAGCATGCACGTCGGTGCATCACACAAGCGGTTTGCAGTCGCTTTCATTTGTACACCTCACGCACATCCCGATCCCCATCCCCCCCTTTCTCTCAGGCAGGTTTGAATCCGCCTCACACGCATCGTTGACACGGTCCAAATCGTGGCACCTTTACGGCAGTCTTATCGCGTTATCACACTGTCTTCTGCCACAACACCGAGGCGAGGAGATTACTTTGGCCTACATAAATCCCCAGTGAAGTACATCTGTATACTGATGCATTCAGGGAACCACAACTTTATGTTACATTACTTAATATGATGAACCACCTCTGGATAGTCAGCTTTTAAACTTCATAATTTTGTATAAAATTATACTAAATTACAAATGTTTATCATTATAAATTCAGTGACGTCTGTCAGAGGCAGAGTTAGTTTATATGCTGACTTCCTGTACAGCAGATACAGTTACAGGCAGCTCTGTGGATGTGCTGTTTTGTAGCCCTCAAGCTGTTAAATCCTGACCACGCAAGGGTGCAAAATGATTGTTGCTGTGTGTGTGTGTGTGTGTGTGTGGAGAGAGTTTTCAGTCTTGCAAACATGCACAGTTTTCAGCAGCTGCTGCTGCTGCTGATGATACAAAACAAAACGAACAAATGTGAAGTGTTTTGCTGCAGTATGACCTTGCAGAGAGAGAGAGAAAGAGAGAGATAGTGGGAGAGTCCACCTGAGCTTTGAGCCCTTCCAGCTCAGCTCATCCATCTGTCTGCCAGTGCTTATGCTGTAAGTGAAGCTTACTTGAATGCAGGCGACAACATGGGTGTCACTGGCTAACTGTTTTGTCAGCCCGGTTGCTTGTGTTTCACTTGATCTGAAGATTTTTGTGGTTTCATGGACTTTCATGGAGTGTGTGATTCAGCAGTATTTCCTGCTCAATAAGCAAGGTCAGGTTGTATCCTGTGGCTCCAAGCCAGCTCAACACCACTAAACAAGGCCTGCTATTACACGGCAAAATGTAATATACCCCACTGGACAGAGAGGGAGGTCTGTGCAGCTACTGATTTTTCCCCTTCAATCTATTTTCTTACATTTATTTGACAGTATGGTCAAATAGTTCACCTCATGGCCACATTGATAATCCACATGTTAGGAGGTGAGACATGCCCACTGTTTACAAGTCATGCCATCTGCACATGATGCTACCTGTGGAAGGCATATCAGTTTTGCTTATGAAGTTCCATTTATGGGATTTCAAAGAATACTCCACCGATATAGCATTGCCCTCCTATAATATTGTTGGACAACTTGGCGCCTACATTACCCACAATGCAATTTACACAGTAACAAGTACTGTCAGGGCTACAGAGGTCTGGAAAAGTCACTTCTTTCTAACTCTGCACCTTTAGATGTTTTCATCTTCAAACACTCTTCAGCTCCCAGCGATGCCTGACATCCCTTAAGGCAATTCATCAGATATTAGACAGCTCCCTCTCGAGCTACAATAGCCTTTATACAATACTGTAGCCTACCCCCTAAAACCTGCAACACACTTAGATGTGTCAAATTGGTGGAGTTCCCCTTTAATCAGAAGCTGAATAAGCTTAAATACACACTGAAACTTATGAAATAAAGTCTACAGCCATTTTTTACGAGGCCTTTTTTAAAATATCAGTTGATTAAAACAAACATTTTGAGTAAACACTGTTGAAGCAATGTCTGTACGAGGGCCACGTTTTGCTGCTCTCGCCCAGCTGTAGTCATGGAAACAGCTTGTGCCTAATTACGCCGCCTCACTCGAGGGACCAGCGGTTTACTCGATCGTTACAGGAGGTAGAGAAGGAAAAACTGAAATATAACAGTAATAAAGACGTCAAATGATTTGTTTGTCCGTGTCAGTGAAAGCTGCAGTCTGCATCCTGTCATGCAGCGTGTGTGTGTGTGTGTGTGTGTTGATGTATGTGCTTCCCTGGTCCAGCTGCAGTGACGTCAACCAGGTCCTCCCATCCTCCTGCTCCTCCAGTGTTACCTTACCTGAACACACACACACTTAAAAACACGCTGTATTGAGACTTATAAATGGCAAAGAGACATTTCCGTCAATTATTTCACAATGCATATCAGCTGATATGGAATTTAGGCAAAAATGAGCAACTTCAGGATTGATATGAACATTGTTGAAAGGAGTTTCCTGTAACTTCTGGTGGACTATGACACCTTTCCTCTCTGCTGGATTATATTTTGATGCATGCCTGGCATGTGTGACTCAGGAACAAGGACAGCCAACCTCTTAGTAGACAAGCTGTTGTGATATGCTTTGTAGTATAAGAGTACATCTGAGGACACGTATTGATCTATTCCCCTTTGTTGTCTGTACTTCAGAGGTTTTGGATCCTTCTTTCATAGGTTGTCCTCACAGACAGTCTGCTGTCTAAAGTCTCCATTGTTGTCATTGCTCAGTTCTCCGTTTATCACCTCGGTCCAACCTCCCCTTTCTCAGCATTTTCTGTCTCTGTCAGTTTAAATTCACCTCAAAGGTGCTTTGTTGTTTTCAAATATCAAAGTGCTCAACAAAGTAAAGGCTATTTGTCTTCATTCATTGTTTTCATTCGTGCGCTTTCTTGTCTTAGACAATGACAAGTTGAGATGTACTTAGCTGCCTTTGGGGAATGCTCTTATTTCATTTCCTCTTGAATGAATAGCACCTTTTTATTATTTAATGTCTTTGAATAAAGTACGATATAGGTTCATTTGTTTTCGGAGTGGTAGGTTATCTTTTTAGGGCTACAACTAATGCTTATTTTCACATGTCCCAAGTGAAGTGAAGAAGACATTTCACTAATCTGAAACTGTGCACAACCCCAGATTCCCATCCTGCGTCTGTCCCCAGTCTGTTTTTTCTAGCCTCCCATGAGTCTAATTAGCACAAGCAAAGCGTTACTGGTCTCCAGTGCCCAACACAGGCGGTGCCAGCTGGGTGAAACCTGTCAGTGCAGGAGGGATGTTTGGCCACATCTTGACATTTGACTAAATTCAGCAATATAATAATTATAATAGTGTGCCATTTAATCTTAAAAGTAGACAAATCAACAACAACACGGTATATATCTTGAACTAGGTTGAAATAAGTTGTCTTTTGGGGATTTGCAGTTCTAGAGGAAATATCTTTGTAATAGCTTTTGCACAATATTGTATTCATGTTTTATTTATACTATATTTTTGTATCAAGCTGTATTTACCAATATTTACCAATATCATAATTCTGAAAATGGGTCAGAAGCATTTTTTTTTTACATATTTGTACTGAAAATGTTGTATTTTATTGATCAGAATGAGTCGAGGATAGAAACAATAGACAGAGGCAAAATAAAGGCCGTCACAGAAAACACAGATGAGTGTAAGAGTTTACAATTCCTACAACATGCAGCACATTTAGCATGGATGATTACAGAGTATGTTCTCAACTGCATGTTTTTTCAACCCTCTTTCAGCACCACGGACAGCTCTCTCAAAAACAGCTGATACTAAACCAGCTGCTTCCCCTAAAATACAACAAATACTGAACATACATAGAGGGTCACCTTACAGTTGTTCTCCTTGTATGATATCCACATCATGGATAGATTCAAGGGTACCCCAGTTTATTGTCAGCATGGTGGATTATAGAAACAATCATGAAAGCTTTTTGTTGATGCACCTCTGAGCCGTGGGTTGTCTTGTTTTTAGCACAAATCAATTTATGGTTGTTCAAGTCCCTTAAAACAGCTGTGGAGGAGCACTTTTTTTTTGTAGGGTTCAATAGCTGATATGGTATGTAAAAGGAGAAATTCGTAAAAAGGTCACAAACTGTATGATGTTCTCCTGGGATGTACTCCAGCCCAGGATGCTGCTGCTACTGCTGCATGGTGTGCAGCTTAGCCGACTGAAGCACTTTTATCATCAGTGGAGGCTGCTGGCACTAGCACAAACCAGGAACATAAAACCACAACACAGACAATTTCAACTCCCTGCTGCCATCACTATTCCAACCCCCACACAGAGATTAAGTTAATAATATATCTGGTTTAATGTATTACATAACACAGAGAAGGCCGGAAGCATTACGATGAGCAGCAGCAGCAGCTTCACTCATGTGAAGGACAAGCGCACTACAGTGCTCCATTAAAACCTTTATTCTTGTCAATTAAAAGCAGGAGAGAGTGGAATAGAAACACAGAGAAGGAGAGTCCTGTAATGACTTATAGAGGACGATGCTGCGATAAGATAAACTACCCAGCATGCAACTGAAATGATGAAATAAACAGGAACCTGTAGTTTAAAGGTTGTGTCATGAAAGTGGATAGGATGGACAGGATCATTTCTGTGGATTCATCTGAGGTTTTTTCTTTTAATGCAATAGTTTTCTCGAAAGAAACTCATATTTAACTGTTAATTCTCAGCAGTAATTTAGTCGTAATAATAGGGACAAAGAGAGACAGTGTTCATTTGTTGCATCTCCAAATTATTTATTTACAATTTACAGTCATTTTTAATGATCAAAGTCATTTATCTTTGGCTCTGTGACCCGACTGGCTCCAGCACTCAACCAACCCTGTAAAGGTTAAGAGGTTCCAACAATGGATGGATGGATTTATTTTTATCTAGGTTCTTTTAGCAGCTCTTTCAATTAAATACTCTGGAAATGAACAACTATTTAACTAATACATCATTTCTTGGTTCTTTTTTCCTGTGATTTCCTGTGATTTTTCCTGTGATTAATATTAGGGCTGCCACAGGGCTGTAATATGTTCATCATCTATTAATCTGACGATTATTCTCTCGATTAAATGATTAATCATTTGGTCTATAAAATGTCTATAAAATGGTCAAAAAGGCCCCTCACCGTTTGTGCAAAGCCTCACGTGACCTTATTTAATTGCTTGTGTTGTCCGACCAACACTCAAAACCCAAAAACTTTCAGTTTACTATAATACCAGCAGAAGTGGCTTATCCTCAAAAATAAGAAGTTGGAAGTTTGGCATTTATATATATTATTAAAAAAAAATACTTTGCAGGGAACTTTTTGGAGTTAAAAAGTTAAAAAGTTACTTAAAAGTTAGTTTTTTAATAAAATCAATTGGAGACTGAACTGAACTAAAAAAAGTGTATGGACACACTAAGAGTGTCAGTGACAGACAGAAGACGAGAGGAGACCATTTGTCCTGATACTGCTACAGAGGATTATCACTAATCTCTGTTTGGGCCGCAGTTTACCCGCAACACGTCCTCCCATTGGCTCTGGTCTAATCTGGATGTCCACCATCCAGCAACAAGCCGTTTCATTGGATATACCGCTGTAGCTGACAGCAGTATGTGGTCACAAAATTCATCAAATTTATCTAAGAGCCAAACACCGTTGGGAAGGGAAATTGCTTGGTTGTGCTAGTTCACTAATGTCAGCGCTGTTGTTTCTGCGTGCATTAGAGCAGGATTAGATGAGGCTGAATGTCTGACTGTGTCTGGGAATCAGAAGTGATGTGACACACATGACGAGACCAACAGAGCAGCGTGTTGAGCTTCAGTTGTTACACTTATTACATGAAAACTATCTTTAAAGAATCACATTTTTATGAAGGGAATAGGGCAAAGCTAAACAGTTTCAAAAAATACTTTTCCAAGAATGTGTGTGATTTAACAGATTCATTCGAAACTTTAAAATAGAAATACTGCAATGAATTGTTCTGACATTTCTTTAACATAAGTTCCAACAAAGCCAAAATTCATAAATGTGAAACACTTGCTTGCAAGAAGCATGCAAAGCTTGTTTTATTTGTGAAGCCCTTTTGTACTGATTAAAAGTCTTTTCGAGTGAATCGGTCACCTCTGTGTGGGTGAGCACTCAGCCTTGATTGTGTGTGTGCTGTTTGTACACCACTACATGTGTACAGGTAATACCAAAGAAGCAGTGAGTCACTACTCCACAGCAGCTGGCTCCCACTAGATGTGTGTGTGTGCGCAAAGAATGAATGAATGATTCAGTGACTGAACGTTTATTCAATTAATTATTTTTGTTTCGTTAGAATCGGAAAACACAAAATGCGATAAAAGAAATAAATCTGATTGGGACTCGGCTGTGACAGTGATGCTCAGTGTGTCTGTGACCTCCCCCGATCCAGAATTATTGATCATCGATAATCAATTAAGAAACTGTTAACGGGTTAAAAATAACCAGGCAGGAGTGACCATTTTTGGTTAATTTACTGAATGACAAATCAATGTTCCACATTGATGCAAGAATCATATAAAAATACAAAATTGCTGTGAAGTTTTCCTGCTTATTGATTTGCAAAATAACCAGAAATGGTGCCAGAGATTTTAAAGGATAGTTGAGACAATATTAACACCGTGGTAACGTTGTATTTATTATCATATCAACCAACCCTGATAGACCCAGATAGACAGAGCTGAATATAGATCCGTCAAACTGAAGATCTCACCGGATGTTATCATACAAGGAAGTGTGTAAAAGTTGTTTCTGTTCGAAGTGAAGTGCTTTTAGACAGACGCGCACTACTGAGTGCACTTATACTGTATGTAAGTGCTTGTTGAAGTTATCTGCATGTAACCTTAAAATCTCTCTTTGAGTTTCCGTCGCTGTTTATCATGAATCCTTCTGTTTCATAAAATATCTGCAGTTCTCCTTGTCTGACCGGTTGGCTCTCCCTATGTCTCTCCTCTGTGTGGAGGTTGTCTCTGTTCTTTTGGCAGTCGTACGAGTGTGAGTGTTTTTTTATTCCTCACCTCACTGTGGGGGGGATGAAAACACAGGAGGGTGCGGGTGGAGGGACTCTCACCCTCTCTGCAGGATTAGGTAAATGACGAGTGAATGTAGAGACAGTTTTTCCAGTATTGTGTCAGTGTACATGTTGATCTACGTGTGTGTGTGTGTTTGTAAAAAGCTGATGCTGGCCATGGCTTCTCCTCTCATTCGGGGGACCCTTGTTGTAGCAGTTTTAGGGGAGGATGAGGAGGAGTGAAGTGAGAGGAAGACCTGCCGTCAACGCCATCTGTCTACTCTAAAAGGCATCCAAGTGGGAGAGGGGGACTTACACTGGCAGGCAGGTAGACACACACATGAAAGAGAGAGCAGGGTTTCCTTTGTTGTAAAAGGCTGCATTAGAACAACAAACATTGAAACAATAGTGAAGCTCCCTATTGGTGCTCGGGCCTGTGTAGCGGGTGTGGGCTCAGTAAACATTAGCTGCTGTGTCTCTTCAGGCCTATTCTGACAATCACACAGTTACAGCTTGTTTTTATATTGTCTCCAATGTAATAAGTGACACACTGCAGGTTGGGAAAGGATTAGGAAATCTGCAGAACTCAGCAACCTTGCTGTTTTACGAGGTTATAAATCTCTCCTCTATCTGCGGTCTAATACAATTCATCAATTTGTTGTGTTTGCTTGAATAAAATGGTCTTTTATTTATTTTGGATTTGACCATTAGTACCAACATGATCCTCGTGTTGAACATCTAATTGCTGAATTAACTTTTTCTGGTTTAGGTCACAGTTTTGAGCAAAATCCGCTGACTCATGTATCCAAACTGCCTCAGGCTTTGCTTCAGGTTCAAACAGAGGCCTCATTTTTTTCTTAGTTATGTCCTTCAGTTGATGATGCTAACTCAAGAGTAATATATAAATATATATATAAAGAATTGATACAAGCGTTGTATGATTTGAAATCAAGCTGTATGTTGTATGGTTACTTTTTAACATGTAAAAACAAGACAAGCTAACAAATTGCTCTTATGCAATGTTAGATTGAAGACTACAGTACGTGTCTCTGCACACACACACACACACACACACACACACACACACACACATCATGCCTCACTGAATAAGAACTGTCCAGTCAGCTGGTTGAGGAGCACATAGTACCAGAGACAAGTTGACTACGATGTTGCATAAGCAGCTGAACACCCTCAAGGAAAACAGAGTTGTGTTCATAAAAAACAAAACTACAACGCGAAAACATCTGTATTGACACACACTCTTGTGCATTCACAAACACACACTTTGGCCCTCAGTCACACCAGGCCAGTGTTATGATGTAAAACTCTAAAGAAAAATCAGGGTTAGTTCAGGAAAACCTTCAGGACGTTTTCAACATTTTTTTTTCAATATTTCATGAGGCTATATGTCCTCCAATTAAAAAGCACTGCAGCAAATCAAAAGGTAATTCAGCCTGGTGCTACCTCAGCTGTTGTGTTAGGATTTGTTGTTATGCAGCATTGCACTGCTCACACAAACACCCACATATTAACACTCGCTTGTTATTTGTACTTTTCACCTAATTCCAGTCTTCTCAAAGCCTCGTGATTCACTGTCACTGACTCTGTTGTCTTTTTGTCATTTGGTGATTCACATTGTTGTTCGTTTTACTGACCATCTTCCTTGCCGACTGTCTGTTGTCTTGCAGGGATTTCCTTCCCCGTGGTTCTGGCATTGTGACTCGTCGTCCTTTGGTTTTGCAGCTGATGAACTGCCCCACAGGTAAAAACATCTTACCCGTAAACATCTATGGAAATTTCGACATTCAACATCTACAGCAAAACCCTTTCCCCTTTAAATAAGTTCCTTTAATTCTTCCTAGAAGAGACAACAGCAAAGACATAGCTTTTAGATGCTACAGGTGCCGCTCTTACCTAATTCTAATCTAATTCAGCCACACAACTATCGAGGCCAATAAAACGGGGCCACAGCTAGCTGCCTGAATACATGACAACATTATACTTCCTGTTTTAATCCCCAAAAACGCCACAATTAGGGGAACAGTAGTTCCAAAACGTATAGCTGACTATCCCCTAAATCGAGATATATGATAATATGGTTACAAAATTCCATCAGTATTTGCCATATTCCAGGTGAAAATGGTTAAAATTGATCTCTTTCCTTTTTTCCACAATTTCACTTTCAGAACATTTTCTTTTTTTAACCGTCTCTTCCAGAATATGCTGAGTTTCTTCACTGTAAGGGCAAAAAGTTCGTAGATTTTGATGAGGTCCGGCAGGAGATCGAGGCAGAGACTGACCGCATCACCGGGGCCAACAAGGGCATCTCCCCTGTGCCCATCAACCTGCGTGTCTACTCCCCTAATGGTGAGACTGACAAAAATCTATTTCTACACAGATACTAGTTTGGGTTGTCTTGTTCTGCTTGTCTGACATCAATCATTTATGATCCACCAAGCTTTTTATTTGGCAAGAATGCATCTGAAGAAGCTCTCTTCAGTTCGCTTTGCTTTCTCCTGCTCCTTGTTCTCCTCTCAGTGCTGAACCTGACCCTGGTGGACCTGCCGGGGATGACCAAAGTGCCGGTGGGTGACCAGCCTGCAGACATCGAGGCCCAGATTAGAGAAATGCTGATGCAGTTTGTCACCAAGGAGAACTGCCTGATGCTGGCCGTCTCCCCGGCCAACTCTGATCTGGCAAACTCTGATGCTTTAAAGATTGCCAAAGAGGTCGACCCTCAGGGTGAGTGTATATGTACACACACACACACACACACACACACACATACATACATATTGTAACCCGCCGACGACTAAAGGAGATGTGCATTTGGGCCTCCAAACTCATATATTTTTGTAAATACATACATACATATTTAAAAATGTTTCTGCATTAATTGTGTCATGTCATTTCCTTTAAGGTTTTTGTCAATTTAGCTCCTTTTACTGTATTAAAGTAAATAAAATTAGGTCCACCTTAACACATTAAAATCTTGCTAACACATAAATGCATCCAAACAATAGTAACCTTTTTAAAATAACTTTTAGTTTTACTACTACTTCTTAGATTTAATTTGAAGTACAGGACTTTTTCTTGTACTGAACTATTTTTACGTTGTGATATTGCTCCTTAACTTCCTAACTAAATTATCTAAATATGCTAATGCTAATACGACTAGCATCGGAATTTGTGGGTATTTTGCACAGCATATATTTACAGCTTGAGAAATGATTTATCTGTTTAGTTTTCAGTTCCGTTCTCAGGACTGGTTATCATAGTGGTGTGTGTGTGTGTGTGTGTGTGTGTGTGTGTGTGTGTGTGTGTGTGCATGTAGGTATGAGGACCATCGGTGTGATCACCAAGTTGGACCTGATGGACGAGGGAACAGATGCGAAGGACATCCTGGAGAATAAGCATCTCCCGCTCAGGAGGGGTGAGCCCACACACTCCGACACACTCTACTTCAGGGGCCACGCAGTGACACACTGTTTCCCTCTTGTGGTGGTGAGGTGGATCGTACTCAAAATGTTCAACGCACCAAACACTGGAAAAAAAAACAACACAGAAAAAGGACGGAGTGATGGAAGGAGAAGTGTGTGATAAAAACTGTACTGAGTAAGAAATCAAAAGACAGACAGAAAGGTGGAAGAGTTGAAGAGCAGAAGCAGCGAAGGAGGCAAAGAGAAAAGCACTGTGTTGGAAAAGAGCTTGCACGTATCTTGCGGGCTGCCCTTTATTGCAATGTGCTGATATGGTACTTTTCTTTTCCATTTGCACTTGGTTAGGACCCAGGCATGCGCTTTTGAATATTTTCCATGTATGTCCTTTGTGTTTTCTACGTCCCCCTCCTTCTTTTTACTCCTCGTCTCTCTCTGTCTAATCTGGCTGTCCACATGTACAAGGCTGCTAGCTCACAGTCGCATTAGTTATAGAGCATGAAACAGCCTTTAACCGAGGGATGCATGAGAAAACTTAATGGGAGGTGAAATAGGATCCGCATGACCTGAAATATATTCTCTCTAAAAACCTGGACACACACATTCAGACATTTATTCATCGCCCTTCCCTCCGTTCTCTCCTCTATTCATCCTTCGTCTATATTCTTTTTTTTAATCCCATGTCTGCTGAAATGTGGTTTTCCTCAGCTAAACATTTTTAAACACAATTCTGAGCGGTTTGGTCCGAGAGGGGATGTTAATTTTGGGTTTGGCTGTTGAAACTGACTTCATATGTAGGAAATGAAAGAGAGCCCAGCACAATCCCTGATTGCCCTGATGCAGGACTATGCTATCTTCCAGTCAAATATCCCATCGGGCCACAAGTATTGAATCTGTTCCAGTCTGCTCTCAAAAATTCCACAAAGTGATAAAAAGAGCTAGATCAAGTTCTGTGCAAATCTCACAACGTTCAGACTGTATTGTAAATGTTTGTGGGACTCTTGTGTGTCCAGGTTACATCGGTGTGGTGAACAGGAGCCAGAAGGACATAGATGGCAGGAAGGACATCAATGCTGCTATGGCTGCTGAGAGGAAGTTTTTCCTCTCCCACCCTGGATATAGACACCTGGCCGAACGTATGGGGACTCCCTACCTGCAGAAAACCCTCAATCAGGTGTGTAAAAGAGCAAGACAGAGTGAGAGTGTCAGTCACAGGCAACTGCAGTACGTCCGTTAATGGGGGCTGTATTTTCCAGCAATCTAATTTAAACATTCCCCATATTCCCAGTGATCTAACTCTGACCTTTGACCTGCACAGCAACTGACAAACCACATCCGGGACACCCTGCCTAGTCTGCGGGCCAAGCTGCAGAGTCAGCTTCTCTCCATAGAGAAGGAGGTGGAGGAATACAAGAACTTCAGACCCGACGATCCATCTCGCAAGACCAAGGCTCTGCTCCAGTGAGTGGAGACGGGAGAAGACTGTGAGATAGAAACAGACAAAAAGATTCATTGATATCTCTGCCTCCCTGCAGGATGGTGCAGCAGTTCTCTGTGGACTTTGATAAATGTATAGAGGGCTCCGGGGACCAGATTGACACGGCTGAGCTGTCAGGTGGCGCCAGGATCAATCGCATCTTCCATGAACGCTTCCCCTTCGAACTGGTCAAGGTGCGTGTGTGTGTGTGTGTGTCTGCCAGGTGTTGTGTTTACTAGTGTGTGATTTGGTTTGATACTTTTATCTAGAGACTGTATGACAATTATTGGGGAAAGGAAGGAGGATGAAGCTTAAAGCAAGACTGTTCCAAGTTTGATGGATATTTTCTTTAGATGCTACACTGAGAAAAAAATAAAACAGTGACTCCCTCAACCTGATATCCCAAAATATAGTACAAATTGTAACCCAACGAAGTAATGGAGGCCAAGAAAAATATTTTTGCAATAAAAAAGAAACTTTGGCACACCCACCAAACCCTAAACACGTCACTTCTATAGCTGTAAATATTTATGCACAAGAGATTCTGAAGATCACAAATCCTTTAAAACATTTACCAGACATGTGGGAACTTGTCATTGTCATTTTTTTGTTTTCTATTTTTTTGATATTATAGCTAGTTTAATCTGCAGAAAATAGATTTGTGAGTGAGTGTGCTGATTCATTTGACGTAAAGCAAAAGTAAAAACTGTTTGTGCGAAGGGTTAAATAAAGAATACTGTGAATCTTCAAAAATAATGGGAATTCAGTCTATTGGATTGTGTTAAAAATAATGAACATATAAAACAATGTCCTACATGAAAGCATAACTTGCTTTATGACAAACATCTCTCCGTGTCTCTTTACATCATCACGTGTCTCCTTCCTGGGTTTCCTAGCCTCAGAAGGAGAGAAGGCCTCCCTCAGGTTTTGGGCTTTTCTGACCCAAACATTCCCCATCTCCTCCCTCTTAGTTTACTTCTCCTGTTGTCGTCCCTTCACTCTCACTTCCCCTACCTCACCTTCTGCCTTTTGTCATCATATTCATCCACATTGTATCCCTCCCCCACATCGTCTCTGTTCACCTTTCACATCATCTTTACCCCGAGCCTGTCCTCCCTTCATCCACCTCCCCCAGCCTCTCTCTCTCTCTCTCTCTAACCCTTTTACCTCAACCCCCTGTTTTACATGTTCGATCCTCTTTCACGTTCTCTCTCTGTCGGCCTGTAACCGTCTCTTCATTCCTCTCCCTTTCTTTCATCCACTCCTCTCCTCCGTCCTCTCTCGTCCTCCCTTTGAGGATATAAATCTTACTGCCTGTGACTGAGGGCCTCAGAAAAATCCCCCGTCGGTTTCCCACTGGGAGAACAGAGCAGGTTGCTTCCAAACCAGAAGCTTGACTCATAAAATCATTATGTTTTATATGTTTGGAATACATGCTTTCAAGGAAATATGAAACTTTGCTGAGGAAAGTGGGAATGAATGAGGTACTTAAAAAATGAAGTAAAAACAGATCCTGTATATAGTAGATCAGCTTTTATATCCTCCTTCCCATGATAAAGTATATTCGACAGAATGTAAATCTGTTTGGGGAGGAAGCGTGTTTAAGGTTTGCAAAATAAAAGCAGCAGAGACATTTAAGAAATAGCGATGGACACGTGTTCTAATTCAATGTTTCTCAACAGTTCCTTGTGACTTGTTATTAGCTGACATGGTGTTTGAAAATAAAGAATGGAGGAATTAAGTTGAAATAATGTGTATTACTGTACTTAATCCTCCCTGTGGTCTCTGTTTCGTTTGCAGATGGAGTTTGATGAGAAAGAGCTCCGCAAGGAGATCAGCTACGCCATCAAGAACATTCATGGAATCAGGCACGTCCGCCCTTCAACTCACCCCTCCGCCCCCACTTCCTCTCTCTCTCTCTCTCTCTCTCTCTCTCTCTCTGTCTCTCTCCATCTCCGTCACCTCTGGCCTGACTGCATCTAACTGACTTTGCTTATCTGATCACAAAGACCTCTGTTGAATACTAATGGCGTCAGTACACTTAGAGAAGATTTGTGATGAGATAGGTTGCACCGTATTTAAAAAAAAAATCATCTAATAAGACAAAAAAAACATCAGGAAAAAAATTATTTATATTTGTTGCCAAAATGTTTTTAAAATTGTGTTTGGTCTGATTATGACAGGATGTAGCGAGAAGCAGGAGATATGGGATTTATTGGGGGTCATGTGCTTCTCGGTGACAAGCATGTGTGAAATTTACAAAGACATGTTTTTATTTATTTCCAAGGCAGTTGTTGTTTTCTGTCAGTACTGGTTTTTATACTTTATTTAGCTTATTTCAGTATCAGCGTAGATACTTGTTAGGATGTTACTAGTAATAAATGGTAATGTTTGGAGGTTTGTTGATAATTGGCTGTTAGCGGTGGGTCGCATCCAGAGTTACCACCTGAATTTAGTTGCTTAAATTTGAATTTAAGTTAAAAAAAATCAGTGAAAGTCCATATTCATAGCCAGACTTTTGCTAAAATGGATTTTTGATGGCACATTCATGTTATTTAAATTACCTGGGTCCAGTTCCACCTCCAAAGTGTCCAGGCTGTCCTTGTGGTGAGTTGTCAGGGATGTATTTATGCATTTTCTTTATCAAGTGAGATCCCGTCCATCCTCTTGATGGATAACACACCGGCTAGTCTGCAGTGAAAACACATTCTTGAGGGAAAATGGCTTCATATTTGCTGAAGAAATTTACAAATTAAAAACAGATTACTTGAAATCGTTAAAATAACTAAATATTTCCTAGAACATGTTGATTTGTATTTCCATTCTCTTTCTCTCTGTCTATTTTGTGTCTGTTTACGTTTTTGGGGGAAAAGCTCAGAAACGGAGAGTAATTCTTTACAATTAACACTCTTCTCTTTACCCAACTCTCCTCCCTCCTTCTGTCTTTCTCTCCGCCATCCTCCTCTTTTTTGCCCCTGTGGCTGGTTCTCTGTCTGTCGGGCAGAACTGGCCTCTTCACCCCGGACATGGCCTTTGAGACCATTGTGAAAAGGCAGATTGGGAAGATTAAAGAGCCTTGCACCAAATGTGTGGACATGGTCATTTCTGAGCTAGTCAATACGGTTAGGCAGTGTACCAAGAAGGTAAAAAAATTATAGAAAACAGTGGACAGCACTTTATTTTTGTATTTTCAACCCTCCTCTGCAAAGTCCCTCTGCTGTGCACTCCCTTTTACTGTAACCACCTGGCTCTCTCCAGCCCTCGTTGTTTTTTTGGACAGCGAGGGGACACCTGGAGTGGCAGGGTGGGCTGCGGTATGACTGCCCGCCTGCCTACCGTACCGCTTGGGACTGGTTTGGCTGGACAGACTGGTCGTGGTAGAAAGCTGTGTTTAAGAAAACCAGTGTGGAGGCTGAGTGGTCATCAAAATATGGTTGCCCATAAAAGATTTAATGTCACAGCAGTCTCAGCTCAGAACTTGAGTTTACGAGTTGCCTCAGTTAGGATGTTTTGACAGAGTAGATTATTTTACACTGCGACCCAATTCCACACTATGTACTAACGGTATGTACTACAAGCTGTCATAGTATACTGTTCAAAAGGTCAGTGTGCTTTACTGTTTTTAACAGGAAACGATGCAATATGTATGCTGACATACATCAAACTTGTACAGTACTTCTGAATAGTAATGCCATTTCTATTCAAAGTAAGAAAAAAAAGAAAAGATTTTTCCTATTTTTGTAGTTTCCGAAGCCCTGAAAGATATTCTTCATCTTGTGCACACAAGTTTTTATCTTGTGTGCACAAGATATTATTTTGTTTGGACAAGATTTCATCTTATTGTTATTATCTTGTTTGCACATATATGTTGTGTGCACAACTGAGAGCTGGTATTTATTGTGGAATTGGGACAACTCTCTTGAGGCCGTCTCTATGCAAGCTAAAAAACACCTCTTTGGTGGGCTTTGGAATTTATTTTATACATTTACTCGAGTAGTCCTCAAGTCACATAGTCTTAGTTCTACTTCTAGATAATCTTTCCACCTATGCTTAAATACAAAGGTATACACGTGGATCATCATTCGTCAGTCATTTACAATACCTGGCAGCGATATTGGATGACCTCAGCGTCCAGACTTCCTTGTGTGTGAGACCGCAGCCGTGCACCTGCAGCAGACGGGAGCCATGACTATTTTGTTTTAACTGCTCTTCAACAGGCCTCGGGGGCCGCACACTCAGCTACAGACGCTTGTGAGTGTGGCCAAAAGAAAAAAAAAGCAGCAGTCTTTGTCCAAACTGATCCAAACAAATTCAACAGCGGTTGGACTGCAACAACCTGGAGCTGCCGTGGGATAATAAATGTTACGATTACGTTCCTGCTGGAAGCCAGAGGAAAAGGAGGGATGGGTGAAGGAAGGGTCGAGACCAGGGGGGGATCAGAGCGTGCTGGCTGAACGTTGGGATGCACAGCTGCGGTCTCGCGGTGCATCGCTTGGAGTTTTTGGCTGGTGGAGTCGTGCAGGCTGGGAGCTCTCTCTCTTTCCTCGTCTTTCTCTTGTCTTTTCTCTCTGTTTGCTCTTTATTGATAGAGAGAGACTCCAGCACTGCCCTGGTGTAGAATGCCTTCAGGGGAAACCAAATGTCTCACTTACATTTCCTTCCTTCTGTGCTGTTTACTCCCCCCACCTCCATACCTCTCCATCTCCAATTTTTACTTAATCGTCCGTCTATTGTCCTTTTCCCCCCACCATCTGTTTATCGTCTCACACCTTTACTTTCTCACTTTTCTCCGTCTCCCTGTTCCTTTATGTCTTCATTTGGTGCTTTTACTTCTCCTCTCTTTCCACCCTTCTTTTGTCTTCTTTTTATTTTCACTCCTCTCTCCCGTGCTCCCTGCCTATCCTTACAGGACGGGGCTGTTCACCCCTGACCTGGCCTTTGAGGCCATAGTGAAAAAGCAGATCCAAAAGCTGAAGGAGCCCACACTGAAGTGTATAGATATGGTTGTGAGCGAACTCACCTCCACCATACGAAAGTGTAGTCAAAAGGTAAAATGGCAAAGAGAACCAAGGCACTTTTGCTATCTGTTAATCACACAGGTAACGGGTAGACCGATGGCTGGGCATTCAAGTATTGAGAAGTACAAGAGAGAAAAACAGGCCTGAACTGCAGTATTCTTTACAGTATTTTAAAAAGTGGCTATTAGCTAAACTGACTGAGATTTGGACAGATGTAATGAGAGTTATTCTCTCTAAAAATCTCCTTACAATGGGGACGATGAAGAAGACTTCTCTTTTCTTCGTTGAACCACATGGTTTTGTTAATTTACACCGACAGTGTAAATGTAAACTACCATCAAACATTTGCTGATCAGTGCTAAAGAGAAAGTTAAGCTGAGGCTGATGGGAATGTTTTGCAGGTATTTCATTGGTTATAAACTTCAGCCAGCAGATAATCGGTCTATCCTCACTCCAGGTCTTACTACTGCAACCATTTAGTCTGCATTGCAATTAAAATGTATCTGTCATTTGCATTCTCTCAGTTGATGGCCTTATATTGACAAATTGTTGCCTCTCAACCTGCATGTTAGCTCATTTTCTTTCATATTTGACCTCTTGATGTCTGAAATTCCTTTTTGATTTAAGTTAGTCAAAATCATATTTGTTTCTGTCTTTGTCAGTATGATTTAATATAGTGGATTGACTGATTGTGTAATTCCACTCACTGACCAACTGACGTATTTCGAGCATCTCTTTATTTCTCTTTTTATTTCTCTTTTGTTGCCCATCCTGTCGTCCTCTAACCCTTTGAACCGGCTGCTTCCTCGCAAAGCAAATGACCAAAAGACAGCCTGACCTCCTTTGGATTTCTCTTCTCTGTCACTTTTATCTTGATTTCACTTTCAGAGACATACTGTATATAAAGATACTGTATTATAATATACAGTGGTTGGGAAAATCCACAGAGGGGTCAGTTTGAAGTCTTCCTCCATCATCCTCTCTCTCATCCCTCCCTCCCTGCTCCTTTGCATTGCATGTCAGTCTGAATCACTGTAAGTGCTTCTGCCTGCTGCCTTGTTTGTAAAAAAAAACCAAAACATTTATTTCTCAGTTTTGTGCTTCTGTGTCATTTTTTAAGACATTGAACACATCACCAGATTTTGACAGTCTTCATGTTACAATGCACCTTTCCAGAAGCAAATATTATGTTGTTTTCATCCACAGTTTATTTGTAAATGTTTTATCTTCATGTTTTTCACAATTTTCCAGTATTGGAGTGAATTCATGAGATGGTGGTCCTCATCAAATGAGTTAGTATCAAAAATTCACAATTTTTCATGCTATAACTTATCTATATATTTATATTTCCAAAAAATTCAAATGAGTGATTTAACTAAACTGTCAACAAATTAAACTAACCAGGTGCTGCAAAGGTATGCTCTTACAAACATATACTAGCTTCAAAATAATTTCTGATATATTTTTTATATCGTAGAACAAAATATTAAAATCTCTCAAGCTTGTGTTAACCGCAGACCTTATTTCAGACCTTATTTCAGGCATCTAACCAAAAACGCATTCAAAAAACTGGTTGACTTTGAAACGAGGGAACCAGAAGTGCAAAAAAGCGAACCCATTTCCTGGTTTTAGGACTCATTCCTGCAGCCCACTATTCATTATGGATGTTGTCTACTTTGTAATTGAACCAAATCCAGGAAGCAGTAAATCAACTTGAGCACCAGAAGTCTACTGATATCCACTCACCAAAAACCATATGACGGACATGAAAGATGCATTGTAACTTGCGAGAAAACGGCGTACATTTTTCTTTCCTGCGCTGTGATTTTTTTGGTTTTGATTTTTCTTCTTTCCTCACACTTCTCCAAATGTGTTTGTGTCACATTGGAGGCCCACCAATGTCTGCGTTCGTGGGTTTGCAGTGAGCTCATGGAAAAAAAGACCCACAGTGTGTGCTAGGAAAAAGAAGCTTTTCTGCCAGAAACATTGTTTATTCTGTTTGTGTGGTAATATCACAGACTTTGCACTGATCTACTGCATTTGTTCCATGTCCCACCCACTGGTCAGGGTGTGCAGAGACTAGAGCTAAGTCTGGGATAAACTCCTCATAACATAACCGGTTTACTTATGTTTATGTAACGTAAATTGTCGTATCGGTGGAACTGTGTGTTGTGGTTCAGTGAGATGAGAAATGTAGTGTATTTTTTTTTTTAAGTCTGTATGTAGATTTGTGATAGTTGGCATGTGTGTTTTTGCTCCCTACCCACTGTGTTCTGTGCCCACAGCTGGCTCAGTATCCCATGCTGAGAGAGGAGATGGAGAGAATCGTCACCCAGCACATCAGGGACAGAGAAAACCGCACAAAGAACCAGGTAACACATATATATATACTGTATATTTATATTTATACTATATATTTTACTTAGGTGTACTTTTCAGTTTCGCACACACAATTGATCTAATACCCCAAACCATTGGAAGCTCTAAAATATGTATATATATATATAAAATAAATGGGCATTTATTGGTAACAGCTCTCTTTCTCTCTGTTCAGGTGTTGCTGTTGATAGACATTGAGTTGTCTTACATGAACACCAACCATGAGGACTTCATTGGATTTGCCAAGTAAGTTTCTGTGTTTTATCGTCTCCATTGTCGAGTATAAAATACTACAGTCACTGTGGTGTTTACTGCTTAGAGATCTACCAGTTCATGTGCAGTTGCAGTGCAGAAATCCAGTTTCTCCTGATGTGTTTTGTTGTGCAGCGCTCAGCAGAGGATCAACCAAATGAACAAGAAGAAAGCAGCTGGTAACCAGGTACTTTGATAACACTAAACATACCGTCATGTCCAACAAAGACTGTCACTTTTACCTGACAGGTTATACTAGGTTTTACAAGTTAAGGTAGAGAACAGCTACAAGAACACGACTCCAGGCTGAACCCCTCCAGTGTGTTTCGTGTGTTGTCCAGCAACATGACATCTGAACTTCAAACAGTTCTTCCCTGAGGCCTTATTCTGTTAGCACCATAGACTGTAAATAGGAAGGTTAGCACTCTTGCCCATGCTAAATGTAGCACAGCGACACAGTATCTTGTTACCTTGGGCAACAGTCCATATCTTACACAATGCAGCCCTTTGTACATGTTACACACTAATGGACGGCAGTTGTTGAATCTTGAAGGATAGTCCCAACAACCGTATTAATATCAAATAGAAAGCACTCTGGCAAGGTTACACAATCCTTAAAAATGTGAATAATTGTTTAAATTGTAAATCCTCATCTGGATTTTGTATTTAAGTATTTTTTTTTTGTATTTAAGTACGTGCAGATGTGCAAGTCAAGGAAGCAAAAGTGGTCAGAATGTTAGGAAATCAAAAAAACTAAAACAAGTCAAACAAAGTATCTCACGGTGCCTTTTGTCATGGCTTTACTTTCCACAAAACTTTTTTTTGGTGTGTGCTAAACGACGGACAGACAAACAAAGACTGACTACAGTGATTGGCTGCTGTAAATACGTCACAATATCAGATCTATTACTATACATCTGGGGTAAAATAAACACATTTTGCATGATTGACATTCCACTTTGCCCTCTGAAAGCATGTTCTATTTTTTCCACATTTATTTTTTTTATATTATCCTCTTCAGCTCTTGTTTTTTAGTGTCTATCATATTTGTTGCCTCCCGTTTCCTCCGAGTGATTTCTCTTTTTGCTGTGTCTCGTCCTCTTTTTCTTCCTCTCTGTGGTTTTTCTGCTCTAGGATGAGATCATGGTGAGTAGTGTGTGTGTGTGTGTGTGTTTGAAGTGTCTGTGTGTGTGTGTGTGTGTGTGTGTGTGTATGTGCATGTCTGCAGTTAGGCTTTCATGCGTATGTGCTCTATCTTTTAACGCTCTGCATATGTCAGGACACATGTCGATGTGTACACTTGTGTGTCTTTTATGTGTGGTGGATTATAGTGGATTCGTGAGTGTTTGTCAATGAAATGAGCTTCGTATTACCAGTACTACCAGTAGACGGGCAGGTGGCTGTGGTGGGGGATGCTTGGCTGCTGCCCTTTCCTCTCTTTTTTCAGCTTTGTCCTCCCTGCGGGCACACACACTCACACTCATGCACACACTACAGGATGACAAGTGTACTGTAAAATGCTATCCTACACGGCATCTTTCTGTCTGGTTGAAAGGCTCAGTTTGAAGATGTGACTTTGATATGGGGCCAGTTTGCTTTGGCGGGGATGAGATGCCCCCCAGCAGTAGTTTGAACTAGATGAAGAGAAAGTCACTCATGTCATCTTGAATTCACTAGACTTCCACTCTCTATCCCCTTTTTTATTACCTGCCTTTCCCCAATTCCTCCAGAAGGCCAGGGGGAATGAAGACCTGCAGCGTGCTCGACATGTGTCACCTCCATTGTTGTCAGTTGTCATAACAACCCCCCAGGTCGGGGTCAGAGGTTAGGGGCACATGCTAAACAAAGTGGTGAGCTTCACTTCCTGTTTTCAGATGGATGTAGTTGACCCCACAGCTTCTGTTCTCCTGATCGTAGTCCAGATCTGAAACTTTTTAAAGATACCAAATACATACGCTGAATGAATAAATAGGGGAATATGTAAAAATGATGCAGATGAGTGCATTGTCAGGCACTTTTACATTTAATCATTTCGTCTAAGTTTTTGCCTAACAAACCAAATTTAGGGTCTAAGGATAGAGAGAGTTGTATGTTGTCCAGATTTTAAAGCACTCTGAAACAACTTTGTTATTCTGGCTGTCGAACGAAAAGACGTCTGCACACGACTGTTGTACGTTCAAATAAATGTGTGGTTTGGAGTCACTCTATTTATCATTTAATTTTGGGCAATGTAAATAAAATTGACTTGTCAGGAAGCACAAAAACTGTATCATTCATTTTTTTGATTGTTTTACTCTCAGTCTCTTAAATGAAATGTCAGATATAGAATATAATTTGTGACACTGACATACAGTGTGGAACTTTTTTTCAAATTAAACATAAGAGAAATTAAGGAAGAACTTAAAGGCAAGTTCAGCCCTCCGAAGTTTGCTCACTCCACCACTTTTCTTCAAAAAGCACATGCAGTATAAACCAGTCTGGCTCCTGCATTTCATTGCATGGCCTCAAAAAGGTTTGACACGGACCGTTCTTGTTGTAGCCTCCTTACTGCCTTTGCCCCCCACCTTGCTTGCTGTCCCCTTTTGCTGCCGCCCCAGCAGCCAGCTTTAATGTGCTGGTGCCTGACCAACATTGTGTACTTGGCCTTTACTAAATGCCTTGCGTTGGTCGTTCTCTCCACATTCTCATTCAGCCGGAGAGAGGAGTTAGCGATCGGTTCAAGGTAAATAACACGCACACCATGTAGTACTGTATGTGTCTAATAGTTTCTGTTTGGTGGAGAGAATGAAATACAAGAAAGAAAAAGAGTGTGAGGAATGTGTTTAGTCATGTAGGTGTGCACCACCCTGCTGTTGTTTGTGGCAGTCGCCTCTTATCTCCACTAGAAGCAGTGATATTACATGTTACTGTGCTGCCGCATACATGTTAGCATAGTATGTGTGTTAACATACGCGGGCTGACAAACATGGTGATAGTGGAACATACGTATGTTGGAAATGATGATTTTAGCCTGCTGTATATTATTTAATATCACTTTCCCTTCTTACTGTTTGTCTGTGTGTCTCTCAGGTGATCAGGAAGGGTTGGCTGACCATCAACAACATCAGCATCATGAAGGGAGGAGCCAAGGAGTACTGGTTTGTCCTCACCGCCGAGTCCATGTCCTGGTATAAAGACGATGAGGTGAGATGCTGTTCACTCTTTGCAGACTTGTTGATCAGATTCACATTTGTGCTCAGAGCTGCAGGATCGATGCTTTGGATCTGAGCTGCCAAACAAATCTCAAATTCCTGTTTATCTGCTGTGTAGTGTTGTCTAAAAAAACAAAGCAGCTTAAAACCGTGGTAAAAGAATATTACAGCGCACCAATAAGCTTGTTGCAGGATAGTAGTTTTTGGCTAAAAGAAACGTCACTCGTCACAAAAACGGAAAAGAAAGAACTTCAACTTCAGCAAATTACAGTCTTAAAGCTTTTAACATTTTTGCGTTTCAGTATTCTTTACATGAATACATCATTAAAAATACGTTTTATTCTTGAAATTCTATTGCGTGACCTCGCAATAAGTATTGAATTACCTCAAAATAAATCTTGCCGTCCCTGCGGTCCGTAAAGAAAGACTGAGCTGTATTATGATATGACGTAGTAGACCACCACTACACCCTCAGCTGTGTGTGGCTCGGGCTCAGATGACCAGTTGAGCTGACCATGGCTGTGCTTTGGTTGGTTTATAATAGGTGTAACACAAACTATGTGCAGGGGTTATGTGCGTGCAGTGCACTGCATGGTTGTGGTGTCTGAACACCTGTGGTGTATAACACATTTGTCATATGTGATATAATCACAGCAGGTTCAAATCCCGTGTGGCTTAACAATGTTGATGTGTTAAGCTATAGTATTAATAATGTAGTCCAGGCCTGTCAGTGTAGTCTTAAATTTAGGCGGAAGCTTGTTGTTGCATTCAGGGCTTTGTGGAAAATAGCAAAAACACATTCATCAATAAAAAAAAGCACGATCATCCAGTGATTTTCAATAGCTATGGTCATATTGAAACGTCAAGAAGCCCCTTTGACTGTTGTGTATTATTATGTACTACACTGGAAGTTGGATGTGTTTATTCTCCACGTGCTTCTCCACCAGAGAGATTCTTTTCCACGTTCTGGTCCACGGTGATTTGACCCAGCTGCTTACTGGGGCAACTGGTCAAAGCGGTATCCCATGATGCTTTGCAGAACTATTAGGAGCTAGCCACAGTCTCACTGTCTCCAGGCCTTCGCCACAGCCGCTCTGCCCGCTGACATAAGGGTGTGTGTGTGTGTGTGTGTGTGTGTGGAGAATGAAGAAGGCCTTCGCAAAGAGTCAGGACCCCCCAGCATGTCAGACACCGAAGCTGGCACACACATGTGCATACCAGAGCCCCCTGCCCTGTTCCCAATTACACACACACACACACACACACACACACACACACACACACACACACA